GTGACCTACTAGAACAGCATTATCACTATTGGAATTGTGTTTAATACCATGATTGTTCAATGTCATTAACTTAAATGGAGACGGACATTTGACCTGAAAGGTGGTGTGGGAGTGCAAAATAAAAAAAAAAACTGACTATGATATATGGTTAAAAAATGAATATCAATTACATGGGTCAACATGGTCAAGGGAAGAGTTGTTATGAAATAACAATATGGCAGAGAAGTGGTTTCAAGTTTCATATAAAGCGACCTGACTGACATGAAATAAAAAATCAAAGGAGTATCCCTATTTGTCTAATCTTCAAGGTGAAATAAAACTAGTAAAACAATATTATACTATTGTCTAAATCTACAGAAATATAATTTGCTTCAAGTAACAGAAATAACTAGGTCACTAGTAACTTATTTAATGAGTATGTGGGGTATAAGAGCTTGATAACAACAGGCTCTTCATAATCATTTGGTTTGAAAAGGATACTAGTACATGTGTAGTCTATATTCTTGATTTAGAAAAATGTAATTGCAAGACAAAAATCACATTACTTAGAATACTTTAGATCATTCAGGTAGTCTTTATTTATATGTACAAAAGAACAGCCAGTAGTCATTGGATATTGTAGATCATTCAAATAGTCTTGACCTATTTATTAGTACAAAAGAACAGCCAGTAGTCATTGGATATTGTAGATTATTGTGGTAGTCTTGACCTATTTATTTATAGAAAAAAACAGCCAGTAGTCATTGGATACTGTAGATCATTCAGGTAGTCTTGACCTATACATTTGTACTAAAAAAACAGCCAGTTGTCATCTTCACATAACACACACATATACGAATATCAATTATATGCTTATGAGACATGTTGGAATGTTAAACTAATTACGGTATGTGAAAATCAAGACTTGCATAAAAAATATCACAATATTAGAGACAGTGGCGTCATTTTTCCTCAGAGCTTTCAGCTCTTTGATTTATTTGTAGGCCCCGCTATCAGATTGGTTCATATTGAGGTCAAAAGGGTCCAAAATTAAACTTTGTTTGATTTCATCGAAAATTGAATTATTGGGGTTCTTTGATATGCCAAATCTAACCGTGTTTTTAGATTTTTAATTTGGGTCCCGTTTTTTAAATTGGTCTTCATTGAGGTCCAAAGGGTCCAAAATTAAACTTAGTTTGATTTTAACAAAAATTGAATTCTTGGGGTTCTTTGATATGCTGAATCTAAACATGTGTTTAGATTTTTGATTATGGGCCCAGTTTTCAAGTTGGTCCAAGTTGGGGTCCAAAATTAAACTTTTTTTGATTTCAACAAAAATTGAATATATGGGGTTCTTTGATATGCTGAATCTAACCATGAATTTAGAATTTTTATTTGTGGGCCCCGCTATCAAATTGGTTTATATTGAGGTCAAAAGGGTCCAAAATTAAACTTTGTTTGATTTCATCAAAAATTGAATTATTGGGGTTCTTTGATATTCCAAATCTAACCGTGTATTTAGATTTTTAATTTTAAGTCCCGTTTTTTAAATTGGTCTACATTAAGGTCCAAAGGGTCCAAAATTAAACTTAGTTTGATTTTAGCAAAAATTGAATTCTTGGGGTTCTTTGATATGCTGAATCTAAACATGTGTATAGATTTTTGATTATGGGCCCAGTTTTCAAGTTTGTCCAAGTTGGGGTCCAAAATTAAACTTTGTTTGATTTTAACAAAAATTGAATATATGGGGTTCTTTGATATGCTGAATCTAACCATGTATTTTGATTTTGGACATTGGACCATAATAGGTAAATTAAAAAAAATCAAGTTCTTAGACCACATTCTTTCTGTGTCAGAAACCTATGCTGTGTCAAATATTTAATAACAATCCAAATTCAGAGCTGTATCAAGCTTGAATGTTGTGTCCATACTTGCCCCAACTGTTCAGGGTTCGACCTCTGCGGTCGTATCAAGCTGCGCCCCAGCGAAGCATTTTATTAAATTTAGTTAAATTAATATCATCATAGAATTTATTTAAAAGAAAACATATCTATTATCGAACCCAACCAATCACATTTTCACCCTCTTCTACTACTTCATTACATACAATGATATACAATGTAGTACATGATAAAAGTTATAGATTTTCATATTTTAGGCTATGGCAAACATGGTAGGAATCTTAAAAGATGATTGTCCTTAATCTTTTATTTTATTTCCATTCTAAGTTAATATTTTTGATATCTCTTTTCTATATTATTAGACAAACAAAAACAGCAAGTTAAGTTATTGGAAACCTGATTTTTTTTTATTGTAGATAAATTAAAAGTTATCAGGGTTTTTAGGTATTTTTTGGAATGATCCTATATGTTCAGAACCAGCATTTCTAGTAAATCTGTCAATATCACTTGTTCAGGGGAAACTTTGAGATTGATTTATTTTTTGATAATTGTTTTTATAATTCATACATCTGTTGTACCTGTCAACTGACTAGTGATCTCACCAGCTCACCCAAGATTTGTTAATGACCAGCCTGGGTATTTCAGTATCTGACATATTTTCACCTCTAAAAAACTGTTTGATTTGGTATTAATTCCTGCAAACAATAAGGGGAACAACATTACCAAAAAATACATACCATGTACATGATGTACACACCCTTTTATTCCTTACCTACATTTATCAGAGAAAAAGTTGATTTATGATAAATGATTTTTTTGACATTCATAAGTGATTGATCCTTAGTTATATGTTAAGTAATAATAATCATTTAATCAAGATAAGAAGGTAATCTATCATAATAGGGGATTTTAAACCACAGCCTTGAGCAATTTGTCACATTCAATGTAATAGTGTTTTTATGAATAAGACTAAATGCAGTAAACACAAGGAGGGACATACTAGAGAAAAAATACTATAGGCTAAATTTAAAGCCACCCTCATTTTTTTGAGAGTACCTTTAAAGTCAGAATGAATCTTAGTAAGGTTTATAAATTAAGAAAAACTTATCTGCTTACCTCCAATTCAGAATATCAACCTTAAGGGTTAAAGCATGGTGCCAAAAATGCATTAAAACATTTCAGTATAGTAACTTGTTAGAAAAGACTATACATGTAGATTTTATTTATGTTGAAATTTTCCTTGAAATCAAATTAACCAGCCCAAATTTGTCAGACCTGTAATATCATATTGTATAAAAATGTTTTGGATGAGTAACCTAAATTTTTACTTGTTTGTATATATCAAGGATAATTTTTATTTACCTACGGCGGGGGCATTAAGTTTAACCCTTGACCGTCCTTCAGTCAGTCTTTCCATTCGTCCTTCTGTCCCATTTTCGTTTCCTTATTCTAACTTAAGTTTGCCTAATCCAAATTTTATGAAACTCGTACACAATTAATACTAAGAACGACAACACACAGACAAAGTTCAAATTTGGGCAGTGAGTCATTTACCCTTCTAGAGTTATGCCCCCTTTTAACTTGAAAAATTGCAAAGCTTGAGCTGGGGCATTCGTGTCCTCAGACACATTCTTCTTTTATTTTTAAAAGTGTAGCAACTTAAGAATAACAAAAACTTGACTACATAGTGTTTCTTAAGCATATGTCATGATTTAATGAATTCTCACCTGACAAATTTTTTTGTGTTTTTTTTTTTTGCAGAAGCTATGGTTGCAACTTACTTGGGATAAGTTGCTTAGATATAATAATTATGACAATTATTTTAGTGCCTCTTTGGGTTATGACTTCTAAATAGTTTTCATATATATTTAAACATTATATTTTTCATGTCTGTATGTCAGTGATTTATTGTGTTCCAGGAGTTGGTTTCACAAAAAAACTTACGACTAAGTTTAATCGTAAGTCAGGAACAATTCAGTATACTTACGATCAATCTTAGTCGTAAGATTTTTGTGAAACAGACTCCTGATAAATAACTGCAGCAAATTAGCTTTTTTTACCAATGGTTGTCTTGGACCATAACTTTTTTTACAGTTGTTTTCAGAAATCACAATAACAAATAAAATGAGGACATGATTTTGTTTGTCAGCTGTTATATGTCAACATTTTTTCATTGAAAGACTCAATATTTATAACTGATTTAATGATTTATGTGCAAAATTAAACAGCTGTTTCCTCATATAATGTATTGTTAAGTACAAATATAAGTGCTGGTCTCTGTCAGAGGTTAAAATTAGAATTAAACAAGTAGAACAGCGCTGATCCTTTGCATTTTGATTTTGTGTTTTAACAGAGTCGGATTGAGGTGGTGGCCCTTATGGACTCAGCTTCATATATGATAAATGCATAGACTTTTTACAAGTATCACTCTAAACATCAACTTGCCAGGGCCCCGGGCCCACCTTTTCAAAATCCTAGATCCACACCTGATTAATATACCCAAGGATTTTTTATAGCAGTATGAGAATCCTTGATACACATTATCCCTTTTTCAAGTATGATTAAATGTAAAACATTTCAAAGTAAAAAATGCATTTTTAAGCTTTATATATATAAAGTATAAGAATATGTAAATGTAAAAAGGTGATACACATACACACGTACATGACCATGTTAACTGCTGACATTTTCAGAATAAGCAGGAGTAAAAACTTCCATTTGAACCTCCCCGGTTGGGAGAATCAAAATACACAGATAACATGGATAAGGAGGGTTCAATTGGAAGTCTTGCCAAGCAGGATAAATATAGTCATTTTATAATGTTAAGAAGAAATCATTCCATCTTCAGATTTAATTATCTCTGTTTCCCTTCAACAAATAATTTTCAACTTTGATAACAACCGTTGACAACATTCAGTTTATTTTCTCTATGTTCATATACAGCAAAAATGTAAATTTTTATAATATGTTGGTAACTACAACTATATAATTTACAACAATATAAAAATTGAATTACATTTGGAATAAATTTGTTTGAAATGTCAAATTAATCATTGGAGATATATCAGCCAAAAATTCACCAAGGTAAATTGGATATTTGAAGGTTGAATTATTGACACATTCTACATATTGGATCAATTTTACACCTGGAATTAGCTGAGACAGGATTATATTACCTATCACAGATTACATCGTATTTATTTTTATCACACTTTAGTGAGATAATTCTGTCAAATATGTTATTCATTTGCTTCTTTGAGGGGACACTCACTACCACTGATGATACTGACTGGGATAATTGGTAAGGTCATATCTAATGTTGATGCTATACATCTGGTGTACCACTAATACTTGCTGGGGTAAATTTTGTTGTGTTTGAAACATTTCTGTTTCACTTTCATTTTTGGTCATGAACCAACCTCAAGAGAATCTTATTTATGATTGTTCATAAATTTATTTTTCCTTAAAGTAATATTTAGATTCTTGAATGGCCTGTAACCACAAAACCTTCCTCTCAACAAAAATTGTATTTCTTGAATTATATTGAATTCACTGGACCTGAAATTTGATTTTTAATAATAACTTTTTCTAGTAGCAACTAAAAATATATATTTGATTTCTTTTATCTCTTGAGTTATCTTTAATGTAAGCAAAAGAAAAAAAGTTCTTTAAATATTTGAGTTTTGAAATAAAAAATAAAAAGGTCATTAGGTCAACATGTTCAATGATGTTAGACATGACGTAATTGGACAATATTTGTTGTATGCTTTAATGGGATACAATAAATAGTTTTGTTATGGTTATGCAATGGAAAACTTATATTCATGTTGGTTAAACAAAATTATGGATACTTGAATGAGTTCAGGAACAAACAATTCAACCCATGTACAATGTATACGATTGAATTAACTGTTCACAAATTCTAAAGCATATAAAATATTACATGTACCCCGGTACACAGAACAAATTTCAACTTTCATTTTTCTGCACATAGAATAATAAATGAAATAGAAGACATTCCTGGTAATAAATTCTACAGGGTAACCAAAAATAGTCAAAGCTGCCATTTTCACTTCTTTTTTTTATTTCGTAGATAATCACCTAATATAATGGGAAATGGCTGAAGATCTTCCTTCAACGTCCGATGATATCCCAAATGGAAATACAGGGAAACCACTTAGTGATCTGGACTCACCGACAACTCCAGATTCTGGTTGTAATTATGACTCTGGATTAGAAAAGTCAGAAATTAAGTCAGATTCTTTAGGTTCATCATCATCATTATCCAGCAGTGATGAAGTTGGACATGGATCTACTAATGGACATAAAAGTACACATGACCCTAAAAATAGAATGAAAACTCCACAGACCAGCTCACCAGTTTGTGTCAGTACACAGAAAGGAAATGTTAGATTTGACATTGACAGTCGCCATGATTCCGTGGCGAGTTTTATTTCTGATGTTAGTAATGACACATCTTTTTCTATAGACTCTAGAGATGTTCTTCATCCGGCTGAAGTTCGTGTTCCAATTGTTGGATATGAGATAATGGAAGAAAGAGCTAAATTTACTGTAAGTTATCAATAAACTCTACTTCAATTCACCCTTACGAAATTATAAGGTGTATTAGGCCTGGAAATCTGGCGTAAACCAGGCGTAAGTGGTAGTTACGTGTCCAGATCCAGGCGTAAGGGAACATGAAACGTAAATTTGTAGTCCTTACGGGCGTAGAAAATATGGTAAACCTGGCCTAAGTTGAAATAAGCAAGTCGTAAATTTTCCTACGGGCGTAAAACTGTTGGTATGGCGTAAATCATAATACCAATAATGGGATTATGGAATTTTTTTTCAAAATTTGGCTCTTTGGTATTATTTTGCAAGAGTTGGACTTATGGCAGCTTTATATGTTCAGGGATAATTTGGAAGAATTTGAAATTGGAATTATGGAATCAAATTGATTAATGAAACTGTGAAATAAAAGGAAAGTAATATACATGGTAAAAGATAATTATGTGAGTAACTAAGTTTTATTTTTTAACAGTAATTTTGAATTCTGAAAACCTTCATCCTTGGATGATAACATTAAAATCTTTCACATTAAGTTAAATTGCAGTATTATCATTGATATTTTGGTTCAAATGACATTAATTTTCAAAAAAAAACTCAGTTAAAATGCTAGTTTTATTTCAGGAAGAATTAATTGCCATAATTCTAATTTAAACTTAAACTTATTTGAGCCAGTGTCTGTCCAATATGTATTTATTTATATAGCTTCTTCAATTAATGGTTAATATTTCAAGTTTCATGTCAAACAATGAGAAATTTAAGCAATAGTACAGAAGTTTGTATCAAATACACAAAAGTACACAGCTATGGTAATACACTGATTTAAAATAAGTGTAATATTATGTAAGGATATTACGCTTGGTTTTTGTCAAGCCTTCGACTTTAGTCGAAAAAGCGAGACATAGCGATCCTACATTCCGTCGGTGTCGTCGTAGTCGTCGGCGGCGTCCACAAATATTCACTCTGTGGTTAAAGTTTTTGAAATTTTAATAACTTTCTTAAACTATCCTGGATTTCTACCAAACTTGGAGAGAAGCTTGTTTATGATCATAAGATAGTATCCAGAAGTAAATTTTGTAAAAATAAAATTCCTGTTTTTCCGTATTTTACTTGTAAATGGACTTAGTTTTTCTGCCGGGAAACATTACATTCACTCTGTGGTTAAAGTTTTTCAAATTTTAATAACTTTCTTAAACTATCCTGGATTTGTACCAAACTTGGACAGAAGCTTGTTTATGATCATAAGATAGTATCCAGAAGTAAATTTGTTAAAAAAAGATTTCATTTTTTCCGTATTTTACTTATAAATGGACTTAGTTTTTCTGCCAGGAAACAATACATTCACTCTGTGGTTAAAGTTTTTTTAAATTTTAATAACTTTCTTAAACTGTCCTGGATTTGTACCAAACTTGGACAGAAGCTTGTTTATGATCAAAAGCTAGTATCTAGAAGGAAATTTTGTTAAAATTTTGTACCTGTTTATCTGTATTTTACTTATAAATGGACTTAGTTTTTCTTCCAGTTAACATTAAATACAGTCTGCAGTTAAAGTTTTTACAATATTTATTAGATTCATAAACTATCCTGGATTTATACCAAACTTTGACAGAAGCTTCTTACAATCAAAAGATAGTATCTAAAGGAATATTTTTATTGATTTTTTTCCTCATTTTTGTTGAGCCTGCGATTAACAGCAAAAGTAGGCGAGACACTGGGTTCCGCGGAACCCTTACGAATTTTTTTATTGACCAGGCATACTCATTTGCATATAAAACCTGGTTTTCTGTGGACCAGGCGTACTCATTTAAATATTACGCCTGGTTTCTGCCTCAATTACGCTTGGTTTCCGCCTGGTTTACGCCTGGTTGATGCCTGGACATGCATTCGTAAACACTACAATGACGCCCTGATAAAGTATGATTTTAACACCTTGTTTCCCCGTCATTTACGGCGTCCCATTTCGTACAGGAATAGTCTGCATAATGTGTTTTCTCCAAAAAGTCATCTTAAAAAGTTCAAAAGGTCAACCTGTTTTATAAGATGATCATAATTATGTATGATATGAAAACCTTGAAAACATAGTCATGCGATAAGACTGTCTTGAATGCAACCTAAGAAATTGTGATTATGCAATGTTAAAAAAAAATATGTCTATTTATGCAGAAATTTTTCATAACTTTGAAATAAATAAATTCAAGGTTATAAAAATTATGTAAACTTAAGAAACCAATAAATGCTTCCTATACATAAGTGAAAACTTAAAAAAAAATATTTAAAAATTTACAAAACATAGAAATACAAACTGTGAAACATATATAGGATTTGATCGATGATATCATTGATTAAACATAAGGTATAGAGAATCGTCTCTTAAATTATATATATGGATTATTTTTATGTGACAAGTTGTACAATATATAAGGTTGAACCACGTACATTGTATGTGGGCTAGTGTTCAATACAAATATATTGTGTTTTCACTTGAATATCTAATTATATAAATGTACATGTAATCTTGCATCAGAACCAAAATCATGACATCAAAATCATTTGATCAACCACACTCCAAGATATATGGGACTAATAAAGTAGGTAAACAGAATACTTTCTTAACAATCTTTTTGTGACGAATGCCACATTAATTAAATACAAGAATTTGAAAAGTAAGTAAACATATGTTGAACATACTTGTTTGTGTAATGAATCTTACACATACATGTTTTCATGTACATATCATTTAAGCTGTCATATGTATGGTATTTATTCATTTATACTACTGTATCATTGCTTTTAGCTCACCTTGCTTAAGGGTCAGTGTTTATCAACAATTGGTTTCTGTCAACAGTGATTATAAGTTTCAAAGTCATCTTTGTTGAAACCATTTGCCATAACCATACTTTTGTGTATTATTTGTTAAGATGACCCTGATGTGGAGCTAATATGGTTGCTAATTCTATATTGCATGGGCTAAGTCACCAATATCAATCATTTTCTCTGCAATCACACCCCCTTCCGCTCCTTAATGGTCTATTCAAATTTGTGTGAGAGACCTTATCTGCCAAATGGGGCTGTAACTTAAAACACAACTTTGAGGAAACAATAATTTAAAAAAAAAATAATATGGTTTTAGCAGGAATTTCTTTAACTGCTTCATGATACAAAAAATGTAACTTGCATCTACCAAAAAGTTGCAATTTTGTATCACATTTCATGAAAGGCCAACCAAATTAACTCATTTATTCATATCACACTTAGTTAGGTTTGAGAAATATCTCTCCATGCCAGAAATTGACAGCAGCCAACAACCATATATGTGAAAGGATATCAGTTTCATGATTTAACTAACAAACAATAAAACAATCAAATTCATTTTACTCTATAAGCAGTCAAAAAAGTAAACTATAATGTATGTTTTTCTTTGAAAGGTATTCAAAATTAGAGTACAGCAAACATAAGGTGACAAGAGGTTATTTTATAGTCAATCTAACAAGCAAACAACCATAACTTGATATTACATTGTACACACATGAATGATTTAGCTGTAATGTTTTTCTTCCTTAGGTGTTCAAAATAAAAGTACAGCGAACAGAAGGTGACAGTTGGTATGTGTTTAGGAGGTATACAGACTTTGTCAGACTCAATGAAAGGGTGAGTAGAAAATAATAACTCCCTCCACATATATTTTTAAAAAAACTAAATGAGCTTTAGTCAATAATAAAATAAAATAATTTTTTTTTTACTATAAGGTAAGTAAACATAATTCTTTGAAATTTTATGAAATTTTGTAAGCATTTATACTTTTATAGATACAACCAAATTAAATATATTTGAAACACATCTATAAAAGTATAAATTGAGAATGGAAAAAAATAACGAAAATATCAAAGTTTGAGTGATGAATGAAAAAAACATTAAAGGAACATGTTATATCATTTTGTCATTGTGATGCTTTTATTACTGTAATATTGTAAATAATTGATTTCTACTGAAAAACCACATAATCATGTATACTTTGTGTCAAGGCATTTATTGGAACATGAATTCAGTTTGATGAAATGGAATATAAGGAACTTTTCATTATATATGATTTATTTCAAGTGAATATAAACATTTTCATAAAATAAAAGTGAAAGTTTAAGTCAGATGTCGGAGGTGAGGTTAAAAAAAAGCAGAACATGAGAATGACTTATAAATGATATGATTTAGAATATAGTTCTAGAATAACTAATCAAAGAATTTAAATAAATTAAAGAAAAGTATTCAAGGAGTGACCTGACAACAAATTAATTCATGAATGCGCATAGCACAGGAGTTAATTATCAGTGCTGTTCAGTCATGAGTTGAATATTTTTATGCCCCCGCCGTAGCGGTGGGGGCATTAAGTTTTACCCTTGTCCGTCTGTACGTACGTACATCCCAAAATTAGTTTCTGTTCTCTAACTTAAGTTTGCCTCAACCAAATGTTATGAAACTTGAACACAATACTTATAACCACAAAACACAGATCAACTTTGAATTTTGGTGGCGTCACTTAAACCGTTCTAGAGTTATGCCCCTTTATAAATGGAAAAATTGCAAAATTTTTAGTTTCCGTTCTCTAACTTAAGTTTGCCTCAACCAAATGTTATGAAACTTATATACAATGCTTATTACCACTAAACACAGATTAAATTTGAATTTTGGTGGTGTCACTTTAACCGTTCTAGAGTTATGCCCCTTTATAAATGGAAAAATTGCAAAATTTTTAGTTTCTGTTCTCTAACTTAAGTTTGCCTCAACCAAATGTTATGAAACTTATATACAATGCTTATTACCACAAAACACAGATTAAATTTGAATTTTGGTGGCGTCACTTGAACCGTTCTAGAGTTATGCCCCTTTATAAATGGAAAAATTGCAAAATGTTTAGTTTCCCTTCTCTAACTTAAGTTCGCCTCAACCAAATGTTATGAAACTTATACACAATGCTTATTACCACAAAACACAGATCAAGTTTGAATTTTGGTGGCGTCACTTTAACCGTTCTAGAGTTATGCCCCTTTTTAAATGGAAAAATTGCAAAATTTTTATTTTCTTCTAAAATATCAAGTAATTTTTAAAATTGGAGTTATTTTCCTTTGTCCATGATTATAGTTGAATCAACTACAATCAATGCTTTATACAATGCAATGTTTAATTTTGACTTCCACTGAAAAACACAGATCAAGTTTAATTTGGGTAGTGTCACTTTAACCATTTTTGAGTTATGCCCCTTTATAAATCGAAAGAATGGAAAATTTTTAGTTTCCATTCTGTAACTTAAGTTTGCCCCAACCAAATATTATGAAACCTATACACAATATTCGTTACCACAAAACTAAGATCAAGTACAAATTTTTTGTTTCCGTTAGTTTACTTAAGTTTGCCTCAACCAAATGTTATGAAACTTATACACAATGCTTATTACTACATAATACAGATTAAGTACGAAATTTGGTCTGTCTCAACGAAATGTTATAAAACTCATACACAACCGTTCTAGAGTTATGCGTGTTTACAAATAGAAAAATTGCTGAATTTTTAGTTTCTGTTCTCTACTTAAGTTAGCCTCAACCAAATGTTATGAGACTTACACACAATGCTTATTACCACAAAACTCAGATCAAGTTTAAATTTTGGTAGCGTCACTTTTACCGTTCTTCAGTTATGCCACTTTATAACTATATGATATGCAAGTTGGGGCATCATCTGTGTCCACATGTGGACACTATCCACATTTATTTTATATTTGAATTCTTCGATTAGTTACTCTTTTTAGTACATTGATCATGGTCTTTTTTTATGGAAATAATGTATAAAATATAAAGAACTATATCCTTTTATATGCAGTCCCGATTCGTTTTGATGAACATCATTGACAATGTCTTGACAACACCTATTGTTGTATGACGTCAATGGAGTGAAATTATCAGATTTATTTCACTTGTGAAATTTTTGGTTTTTATTTCTCTGGGAAATCAGGGTATTTAACTGCAACCAATGTAATGATAATCTTTATTCTTATTATGTAGCTCAGTTGTTGAGAAAATACAAACAATTTTTAAAGGCAATGCTTTAATGCCTTTCTAGTTGCCGTGTTATTCTTTCTTTCCGCGATATCCAACTTATCTACGTGGGGGGTCATTAGGCTCCAAGTAGATCCGGAAAATGTTGATTCTCTCCTCTTCTTATTGTGATATAAAATGTTTTTGTTTCATTTCATTTACATTGGGAAATAGAGAAGCGATCATTGTGTTTTGTTAGTTTTAAAAACTTTTGATATATTTGTATTTTACATTATAAGCAGTCAACCGATTGACAAACTAGAATTATTTGAATTCCGTATGGAAAGAGGTCGGGTTAATTTCGAGTGTTATCTGCAATCTAGATGTTTATAAATCATTTCAGTCGTTGATATAATAATTAAAGGTCGACTGAACATGAATTATATTATACAATTTAAAGCGCATTTCTGTTTATGCACGCGAACCCGTCTAACGTTATTGTTATTTCGCAGTTATATAAAGTAGCAAATTATCGTTCCTGAATAGGTGGCGCCGTGGTAGCCGATCCTGTTCTTCAACTTCCGGTTTCTGCACTGTGCAACTATTCACAGTTGCATTTTTAATTAACGATGCCAAGTAATTGTTGTTGTGTACCTGGATGTCATTTAAGAGGAGGATATGCATTTCCAAATGACTTAAAAAGAAGGAAAAGTTGGATCAACGCCATGGCCCATACGCAGATTGGACGAGAACACGATGAAATCGTGGAGTCCATCTCAATCAGCTGTTGTTTGCAAGGCACATTTTACTGAAAAAGACTACGTGCAGGAAACTATTCATGGTAAAACTCTATTTTCTTTTTAAAATATATAGTTATATATGTAATCGCCATGCGAAATAACCAAAGTCTATTTACAACCGCAATTATCGTTTTAGAATAAAAGGGGGTGGTTAATTCAAGACGTCATAATTTTTTGGATTACGATTCAATGTGATCTGTTTGAGATTTTTTGGTGCTTGCTACAATTATAATGATTTCTTACAAGAGGTATATCATACTGAGAATTATTTTAGCAGTAATTATGCTAATGTAGTAATGACAGGAATGCATAAGCTATGCCTCATAGACATAGACTTTCTTGAAAAATGTCAATGACAATTGTTGTAATTTCTGCTTCTTGCTATGTTTTGTCTATAGTATTAAAGCCAGCAAATACGAATAAACTCACAAAACTTGTGACTAAACTAAGGGATAAATAAATACGGCCATCAAATCTGTTGTGTGTTCTCTCTCATCATTGGTGATCATTGGTAGCGTGAATAAATAATCAATAGTAGAAAATGATACTTTTATTAAACTTCTAGAACAGCCGATATATTTCCATACATGTACAATATTCGAGCAACAATTATATAATTTACATACGGGGCGGAGCTACTAAAATAACATTCTTTCTCTTGTATTTTTGTACGGACCAAACAGGATTATCTTAATAAATTCTACAATGACAACGTAAATAAATGCAAGGCATACAGCTATCTGCGCTGCTTCTTACCTCTAAACTACGACCCTTACTTGTGATATAAACTGCGAGGCATACAGCTAAATGCGCTGCTTCTCACCTCTAGGAACCCCCGGGCTGAGCCTTGCTGCAAGCCAATTGTAAACACAGCAAAGACTCACGAACGTGACGTTGCACAGTTATTTATTTGAAATTCCCGGAAGTAAATATTCTAAGCAGGAAGAAAAACATAACGTCAAACGCTGACATAAAATATACAAGTCCTCGACTCAACATGCTTATAATAATACACTTTTGTTACTAAAACAATCAAGACATATTATTTCTTCCAGTTGAGAGCTCACAAATGAACACTTTTGGGTTCACGATTACAATATTTACCCAACGGTAACGGTCTGAATAATACATGACAAATTTGCGCCATATATGACGTTATCGATACATCTAATAACATAAAGTAAAACGTACGTTAATTAGTCATTCAATATACTAGAAATACTAGAAATAACTTCTGATAAACTCTTATAAACTCTCTTAATACAATAATAACAATATTTCTTTACTTGGAATTAACCAATACACACATTTACAACAACAATGTTAACAGGAACAAAACAATGACATGCTCTCATCTATATTATAGTTATTTAGGTATAAACAATGTATGTTTGTTGCATACGTCTCTCATTGTTTGTCCTTTGGATTTACATAACATACATTTTGATGTACATTGAATCAGGCTAACATATTTTTATCCAGATTGTAATGAATAAATCTAGTTAATATTTTGCCAGGTAGTATAAAGTATGCATTGCTAATGAAAGTTCATTTAATTATCAAAAAACTAATGTTTTATAACCTTTTTCAGGGTGCAAACCCACCATACAGAGACTTAAGTCTACTGCCATTCCCAGCCTATTTTCCTGGACCAAGCAAGAGACTGAATCGTGCGCAAAAAGAAAAATCAGGGCAGTTTCTTGTGAAAACAAAAGAACTAAACTTGATGAATATTGTAGTAGAAATCTAGAGGAAAGTTTTGATTGTAAAGTTGGTTTTCCTGAAGAAGTCATTCATACTGCAGACATGATTTATGACTGTCCACCACCAACTGCCGAGCTAATGTTGAGCTTCACAGATGGAATTACGCAAACACCATCAATGCCTATATTTTCAGCAGAGAATTTTGAAATGAAGACATGTGACACAGCCATGCATTTATATACCGGTTTAGAGTTGTAACTTGTATACTAAATTTTTATTTGTTTTGACCACACTTGGTCCAGCAGCACATTGTTTGAGATACATATATTTTCAAATTGATAGGGTGTATTTGAAAATCAGTTTTTTAATGACTTTGATGAAATTGAGGCATTATACAACCAACTTTGAACTGTCTAGATTCTAGATTGAAACTAGTGTTAAGAATATTGTGTAAACATGGATTGTTTTTATGTCTAAACAGTGGCGTGAGGCTAACACTTGGCCATTTAGTGGTTTAGTCAGGTATTTTTCGCCATCCAACTTCAAATTAAAGTTTCCTACAACTTGGATTATTATTGACAGCACAGAATATCCCGTGATAAAACCTAAAGCTCCTAGAGCTCAGGCAACCTTTTCATCATATAAAAACAGAAACACTGAAAATACTTGTATGTTCGACTCCTGGTGGTTTAGTCAACTATGTCTCTAATGCATATGTTGGTTGTACCAGTGACTGTGAAATAGTTGAAAGATGTAGAATAGTTCAATTATGTGATCCAGGTGACAGTGTGATGGCAGACAAAGGTTTAAATGTGCATGATTTGTTTGCTCACTTTTTTCAAAAAAAGAAACAGAATTAGTTCCAAAACTCTTATACGGGATAGAAAAGTCTCCAATTAACACGTGCACATAGAGCTAATTATTGGACTTGGCAAAACATACAAAATTCTAATAAATCCTATGAATGGAACTGAAACAAAACTTTCATCTGAAATAACATTTAGTTGTTTTATGTTGTGTAATTTTAGAACTTGTATTGTGCCAAAGGATGCATAAATAAAAGTGACGCAATGAAGTTTGTTCTGATATATATATATATATAAATATTATTTACAATTACATGCACATGTAAATTGTAATGCATATAAAAATAAGGAGATGTGGTATGATATTCAGTGAGTTTATCGAACCAAAGTGCATAAGAAATGGGTAAAGCAGTTACAGGTGTTACTGTCACCGTGCAATCTCCAACAATTAGAAAAACTTGTACCGTGTAAAAAATTTCAGAGATCTTACAACTAAGTTTTGTTGTCTCACCTTGACTTTGGTGAATTGTTTATATCTGTTGATGTAAATATAAAAAAGAAGATGTGGTATGATTGCCAATGAGACAACTCTCCACAAGAGACCAAATGACACAGAAATTAACAGCTATAGGTCACAGTACGGCCTTCAACAATGAGCAAGGCACATACCGCACAGTGAGCTATAAAAGGCACTGAAATGACAATGTAAAACAATTTAAACAAGAAAACTAACGGCCTAATTTATGTACAAAAAATGAACGAACAACAAATATGCAACACATAAACAAACGACAACCACTGAATTACAGGCTCCTGACTTGGGACAGGCACATACATGTACATACAGAATGTGGCGGGGTTAAACATGTTAGCGGGATCCCAACCCACCCCCTAACCTATGACAGTGGTGTAACAGTACAATATAAGAATGAACTATAAAAATCAGTTGAAAGAGGCTTAACTCATCAGATGGATAAATACAAATACAAGTGGACGAGGCCGGGTAGTTGTACATCCAAACAACAAAAAGACACTATGTACAGATCTGAGAGTACTCGCATTTACTGACAGCTAGTTCAAAGCCACTAACAACTGATAAAAAAATCTTGCATCTAAGACTAAATTATCAATCCGTAAGCTCCCTTTAGAATTTTATAAATTTTAGATTTTACATTTCTGAGTTATGGGGTTTTATTCATTAAAAAAGCGGGCATTTTCCAGTTTTTGGACAACAACTCAAAAATGCTTTAAGCAGTTCGCATGAAACTTTGGTGAATTATTTATAGCTATTGATGTAATCTCCCTATTGATTTTCATAAATTTCAAATATGACATTGAGAAGAAATTGAACTTTATTTGTTTATAGTCTGGCAACAGATTTATTAAGTATTGCGCAACAGCACAGTGTATTGCACAACAGCAAGAAATCTTTAATTGAATATAAATTCAATTCATATAATCGATTTCAAGTTCTGTGACTACATTTATTCAGAAACTATAATATGTCAAATATTTAATTACAATCCAAATTCAGACCTGTATCAAGCTTGAATATTGTGTCCATTTTTGCCCCAACTGTTCAGGGTTGGACCTCTGCGGGTGTATCCAGCTGCGCTCAGCGAATCAGTTTATTTCTTAATTAAGAACTCCTTTTTGTCGAGCCTGCGACTTTTGTCGCAGAAAGCTCGACATAGGGATAGTGATCCGGCGGCGGCGTTGGCTAACTTCTTAAAAGCTTTATATTTTAGAAGGTGGAAGGTCTGGATGCTTCATACTTTGTATATGGATGCCTCATGCTTTGTATATGGATGCCTCATGTTACGAAGTTTCTGTCAGTCACATGTCCAATGTCCTTGACCTCATTTTCATGGTTCAGTGACTACTTGAAAAAAAAGTTAATATTGTTTGTAATGTTAAATTCTCTCTTATTATAAGTCATAGGATAACTATATTGGTATGTGCGTATCTTGCAAGGTCCTCATGTCCGTCAGACAGTTTTCACTTGACCTCGACCTCATTTCATGGATCAGTGAACAAGGTTAAGTTTTGGTGGTCAAGTCCATATCTCAGATACTATAAGCAATAGGTCTAGTATATTCGGTGTATGGAAGGACTGTAAGGTGTACATGTCCAACTGGCAGGTGTCATCTGACCTTGACCTCATTTTCATGGTTCAGTGGTTATAGTTAAGTTTTTGTGTTTTGGTCTGTTTTTCTTATACTGTATGCAATAGGTCTACTATATTTGGTGTATGGAATGATTGCAAGGTGTACATGTCTAGCTGGCAGGTGTCATCTGACCTTGACCTCATTTTCATGGTTCAGTGGTCAAAGTTAAGTTTTTGAGTTTTGGTCTTTTTTTCTAATACTATATGCAATAGTTCAACTGTATTTGGTATATGGAAATATTTTATGATCTATTTGTCAGTCACACAGGTTTTTTTTTTTTACCTTGACCTCATTTTCAAGGTCAGTTGCTCAGTTTTAAGTTTTTGTGTTTTGGTCTGTTTTTCTTAAACTATAAGCAATAGGTCAACTATATTTGTTGTATGGAAGAATTGTTAACTGTACATGCCTGCCTAGCATGGTTCATCTGACCTTGACCTCGTTTTCTTGGTTCATTGGTCAATGCTTAGTTTACTTGGTTAATGTTAAGTTTATGTGACAGTTGTAATAAAGCTTTATATTTATACATAATATCAATGATTAGTAAAGAAGGCGAGACATTTCAGCATGTGCACTCCTGTTTCATTCATAAATTACTTTATACTTGGAAATATAATTTTGCTTGGAGTTATAGTTTCTAAAAAAAAGTATTGTCATTGAAAGAGTTGACATGTTGCAATGTACATTTATTCTACATAGTTCTATGGTACCAAATCAAAAGTTTATATAAAAGAAAGAAGTCAAAGGTTTCCCATCATAGTTTAGTTACATACATTTTTTTTGTACCTGAGGTCGTTGAATATAGATCATTATATAAATAAGGAGATGTGTTATGATTTCCTATGAAACAACTATCATCCATACATTGTACTTACCAGTCACAAACCACATTTGCAAAGTTGAATAAAATACAGTTGATAACATTTACTTATTACTAAAAAGAAAATGCCATACTATTTTAAACAGTATTTGACTATAAACATAGATAAAAAAGGTACAAACTGGACATAATGCACTAGTTCATAAACAAGTGAGAACAATCGCCTTCGTATAGTGCTCAGAATATGACATTCATAAAACTTGTTCAATATCATTAGAGAACTCTAAATCTTAAATACTGAAAGCCACCTCTGATAAGCACAATGTACTATGCAAGATAATGATATAACTGGACTAAAAATACACACAACCTGTAATTAACTGCCTTTACAGCGCTTTCGCGCTTTGATTAAAACATTGATCTTGAAGTTGAAGTTAAGAACTTGAACTTGTGTATACAGATTTAATGTCATTGTACCATAATTATTCTTTCTTTTTGTATTTGATAGGTTAAGAAGAGATTTCCTGGATTAAGTCTGGCCCTACCCCCAAAACGATGGTTTAAGGATAACTATGACAAGAATTTCCTAGAAGACAGATTGTTAGGATTGCAAGCCTTTGTAGATAATTGTACTTCACACAAGGATATATGTAACAGGTGTTTATAGAATTACACTATTTCATTTAAATATTCATTTTTATTTTTTTTATCGTTTTAAGTTTGTTTATGACATTAACTGTGTCATTAAGTGTAAAAGTGGTACTTACTTGTATATAAGTAGCTTAGTCAAAGCAGTTAAATTTGGTATGAAAGCATTATTTGATATAATGGAAAATTTATGCAATGCATTATGGTATTGGTATGTTGGTGGCAGAAGTTCTTTTTGGTGTCCATCTGAAGGCACATTAGTCCTCAGTACAAAGTGTTTATTTTTCTTTCGATATTTTAAGGATACCAGTGTTCTCCCCAGGCCGTTTTAGCGTCACGGCACCGAGACGCTATATTTTTTTCCTGTGATGCTATAATTATTTTGAGGATGCTATTTTTCTTGTCTCTATATTGCAAAACCATGTCCTTAATTTTGAACTTTCATCTAATTACCGCTTGTGATCATAAAAATTATATCACCTTTAATTGTAATCCCTTCAAGTCGGACAATAGAGGCAATTTAGAGTGATTAAATAGGTGTAAATTGTCCTTTTGGTGATAACTGAATGGATACGAATACCCCAGGCCGACACTTGTGACATGACTAATACCACGTGGTCTAATTGCAAATTTCAACATGGAGAAAATTTAATCAGAAAATCGAAAAACAATTCGAAATCTACGTTTGCATAATCCAAATTCAAAGATACAAACGATTTCTCTCTTTAAGAAAAGAGGTTAGGTCGTATATTTTTACAACTTTTAAAAAATTACTTTCTTTCATTTCTGGTATCTAGTTAATTGAGAGCATACATGGCGTATACTAAATATTTTGATTGTTTCTCCCGCTTAAAGCTGTGGAGGGGACGCCAGCCTGGGAAAAAAACTTTTCTCTCGCGCTCCCCTCCGTACCAAGCCTCAACGGGAGAAGGCAGGAGGAAGAAAGGGCCCACTGGATCGAAAGCGACGGCAGACCACGATCAGATCGACTTGAAAAAAAAATGAAAAAGTCGATCATCATCATCCTACCTCAGATCAGACGAGAGTACCCGCTGAATTTAAGCATATCACTAAGCGGAGGAAAAGAAACATTCATTCATTCATTCATTCATTCATTCATTCATTCATTCATTCATTCATTCATTCATTCATTCATTCATTCATTCATTCATTTTTATTTGGTCCAAGAGGAAAAATATAATTCTGTAACTAAATGTGATGCTATCCAAAATTTCTGGGAAGAACACCGGATACCTATATTTCAATTTAAGAGTAGAAGGCAGGACTTTCAATAGTTAAAGTTGTTGTATTAAAAGACGTCCTGAAATATTTCAGTACATCGATAATTTGAATTCAGGATATTTATTATTCATTGGGGACCTGCTGATTTCAGGTTCCATAATTAGATTTCAGGATATCCTTAAATATTTCAAAACCCCCACAAATATTCAGTCAAAAATTGCTCTATTTCAGGATATGCTTTATTTCATTATATCCTTAATATTTATGGAGCCCACAATTATTTCCTGACATCCAGAATTTGATTTCAGGATATCCTTACATAGTTCCACAGTTATGTCAGGACATCAACAATTCAATATTTAGAATTTCCAGGTACAAAAGACTGCCAAATTCTATTTCATAGCAAATTTTTTTCTGATTGGACAACAGGAATAAATTTATGGTAGAATCTTCCAGCTGCTGATTCTTAAATATTTGAGGATTTCCTAAAATCAAATTATGGATGCTATAGAATAATTATGGAGGTCCATGGATACTTAAGAATATCCTGAAATCGATTTGTTGAGGTCCTGAAATATATAATTATAGAGCTCCATAAACATTAAAAATATCCTGCATTATTCAACGACCTCAATTTTGAATGATTATTATTGTAGCTTCTAGAATATTTCAGCCAAAATTCTTGCAAACGCACAGTACATAAACTGTAAAGTTTTCATACAATTTGAATTGAGTGTCATGGCATAGCTCCTCTTGATGCAAGCTTTTTAATCAATATATTTTGTATTACTCTTTCTGTTACCAAGTTATAATAGGATAATGGGGCAGAGAATAACACTTTTACAAAGTATTTAATGTGTTCAACGTTTTAACTGGAATACATATTATGCACAGCTACCATGTATAAATGTTTTGATCCAATTATGCTGCTCTCAGTTGTTTATCTTTAATCATAATATAGTGCCATCAATCAGTAGTACTAATTGTTATGTCCATATTTTACAGTAAGCCAGTGAGAGAGTTCTTCTGTTTTGATGATCCACCAGGTCCACATGACAGTATAGAGGAGAGTAGGGTAAGTCTCTAACATGGACCATTTCTGGGTGGGCAGATAACTTTTACCTTAGGGATTTTTGTTGTTTTTTTAAGTGTTTTAAATATCTGTATGGTACAGTCAAGTTATTTAAATAATCCTTTATTTTGTTCAAGTTTTTTATCCTTACATGTTTTTCGTGTGGATTTATAAACTCCTTTAAAATTGTTGTCCCATTCTAAATTGTTTGGATATGCTCTTATATGTTGTAAAGGACAAATTTTCCTTCATAAATTGCCTAGGAATTATCAGTTGTGAAACAGTGCATGAATTTCCAGTAATATAACTTGCACATTTACACTTACTTTCAACAGTCAATTTTAATTATTCGCATCAAATGATTTCTTTTATGGGGCAAAAATGTCAGGATAAACTTATTATTTCCTGTGATGGCATTGGAATGTGAAATTTATGTACTCAATATGATGAAGATATTATATTGGTTTCTTGATAGTTCAAGTTATTCATATGTTTTCACTAATGTTTTAACTAACAATATTATTTCACTTATCTGTAGTTGAAATGTGATCATCACTTACAGCCTTTGGTATATGTGATATTTGGTATTGTTATATTTTATACAGGTATATTGTGAATCTTTAGAGGACTCAGTCAGTACCTTCAGAACCATAATGGATGCTAAAGACAGAGAAATAGAACTTCTTAAAGAACAATTAGATCTATACAAAGGGCAGGTAGAGGAACTCTCCAAAACTCTAAGGTATTTTCTTACTTAACAAACAATAGTTTTAATGTACAGTTTGACATGATGTTAAATGAAATAGGATCCATAAATAATTTTTGGATAAAGTTGAGGGAATCTAGAAGAAGAAGAAGAAGAGAGGCAAAGGATACCAATGGGACATTCAAACTCACAATTCGAATATAAATAACGCCATGGCCAAAAAAGAAAAAGACAAACAAACAACAGTACACAAAACACAACATAGAAAACCAAAGACTGAGCAACACGAACCCGACCAAAAACTGGAGGTGATCTCAGGTGCTCTGGAAGGGTAAGCAGATCCTGCTCCACATGTACACAAAACACAACATAGTTTGTTGAAAAACATGTCCTACAAAAGAAATAAATATTTTCTCGCTGTCTTGAAGACCCATTGGTGGCCTTGGGCTGGTTTCTGCTCTTTGGTCGGGTTGTTGTATCTTTGACACATTCCCCATTTCCATTCTCAATTTTATTGTCAATAAAGAAATCAAGCATCTTAAAAATGTCAGTTTCAGAGAATTTTTGTAGAATCAGAGAGATTTTTTAAAAGTACGATTTATCCCTCCTTAAGACAAAAAAATACTTGTATCTACGTTTGCCATTTGTTTTTAGGAAACAAAACAGGACCAACATTTTTAATTTGTCTTTTAGTTTAGAATAGGGGATACAAGTGTAAAAGAGGGGCAAGGGATACCAAAGGGACATTCAAGCTCATAAGTCGAAAATAAACTGACAATGCCATGGCTAAAAAAGAAAAAGACAAACAACAGTACACAAACCACAACATAGATGTGAAATAAGATTTTTCTTCCCTTTTTTCCATATAGGCTTTATTTGAAGGCTTGATATTTATTTTTCAGCACCCAGACTTTACATGAAAGTAAGATCAACAGACAAAAGTTAAAGGAATATTCACCCAGCTGATCAGAGAAATCCTTATCATGATCTCCATGTCCTGTCTACATTCCAAAAGTAGAAACCACATATCACGCTGATCATTTTGTTGATGTCTTCTATTACTTGTATGTTAAATCACACAAGAGCTGATATCTTAGTGAACTGAACTATTTCTATCCAGTCTCCATTAATTTCACAAGCATTTTTTATTTATATTTGGATTTTTTTTTGATTCTGAGTAAAATTGATTGATTATAAAGGTGTCATTTATGTCGAAATTTGTAAAATCAAAGTTTGTAAAAACAGTGGTTTCACTTGCATAAAATGCCCAGTGGTGTTAAATACCTGTAAACTTGCGAGTTAAATTGCATATTTGTCATCAAAAGACTTACAAACTGATAATTTTAAATTATTTAATTTGTTCTCATCAATATTTAATGTTAAAATCTTGTTCCATTCAAAATTTTGCATTTCTTTTTTCTCTCCACTTATATTACCAAGAATTTAAAATAAACGAAGGAGCTGATTCAGAAATTCTGTAGCACTAAGGGAACATGACTGCTTTTGATGGTATGTTTGGTCCAGACATCAAGGATTATGAGACTGCTCAACATAATTTACAAACAGAAGTTGCATTTTTATATTAATCCATTGTTGATTTTCGTATCAAGTATTCTTTTGTTTTTTTGTGTCTTGATTTAATTTTTCAGAGGGTTGTGGAGTAATATTAACATATGTCTTTATCACAGGCCATGATTGTAGTATTGTAGTTATAAAAAATGGCACACATTAATTTAATAATTAGGACTGTTCCACCAAAGTATGCATGGTACCCATGGAAGGCATGTTGAAGATAGAGTAACCACCCATAGAAGCAATTTTGGAAATCTGCATACATTTTAAACTTGCACATCATAATATTTCACACTATCCATAGCTGGTAATTCAGTTGCCTTCCCTGCGTCTCACTTGCCTTAGCTGGGTCTCACGTATGTTTTATGGAACAGCTCTTAAAAAGTTTGGTTCAAAAAGAGAAACAATAAAATTTTCTAGTCAAATAAGTGTTCAGCATAATAAAGTCCCCTTATATAACTATATATAACCTTATAACCATTTTCAGATAAAAAATTCTGTTTTATTATTAGTCATAGGGATCAAGTAAATGAATATCAATCTGTACAATTTTCTATTTTGAAGTTATGTTTTTCTCCAGCATTTAGGTATAGAAACTGTTGGTTGTGACTGTATACAGTTTTGAATTGAAAATTGAATAATACTAACATATTCCTTGTTCTTAAATAATCTGTAAAACCAACAATAATCAAATAATGTGGCCTACAGTTTATTCATATATAAATATATGTATTTAAAGTTCCAGAACAATGTAGTTTGTGCTTATTTATAGGACAGGGTTTTGCTTTGTATTATTTTATTTTATTTTTTTATTTTTATTATTAGTTCATTATTCAACTTTTTCTAATGTATTTTTTATATTTTGTCTAATGTTATAAGTAATATAAAAGTTGCTTGCCAAATTGTTAAGCTTTTGCTCATTCCATTGTATGATTATTATCACATTGTATGGTGATTACTTTGTTATCTTTAGATTGTTAATTTTAGGTTGTGCTTTGTAATGTTGATTAGTAATAGTTGATAACATTGATAAGGAAAAATAATTATGTATTCTTTACAATGAAACCTGTCTAAAGTGAACCCTGTGTAAACTGGTAACCTGCACTTACCTGCACTCTTGATGTGAATATCCAATAGTAATATAACCTGTGAATTAGAATCACCTGTATACTGTAAATTCAGAAATGTTTGTGTGCATTTTATTGTGATTTTTGAACAATGGACAAAAAATGTAAGATTAATCATCGTGATGTCAGCAAATGCTGCATAGAAATAATGCTTATTAAAAATGTGATTTTGTTTTGTGGAATCCTATCCTGTCACAAATTTTCGCAATAATGAAAACATTGCAAAAATTTAAGAATCTACAGTTATCTAAACAGAATCTTCAGTTTATACAGGGTTGACTGGCGATATATTATGATGAGAATGACTATATTACAGTCGGAAAATTTAGTGCCTTTGTTGATTTAGAGAATCTGTAGTATTGTGACATTTGTTTAGGATAAACTGGTTTTCATAGGTTCCATTTTATGTATTTTACTTTGAGAAGTGTTCTCATAGGTTCTTTAATGACATACTATACTTACTGTAAGATTTAAGTAAGGATAACATAGAGCCATTGAAAATTTTTTTTTAACTGTTTAGACCAATTTTCAAAACTTGAGATTTTCCATAGTTGTTTCTTTTTTTGTAATTTAAATGAGAAACTATGTGGAAATGATAATTGACACCAAATTAACATTTTCAGTCTGACCGTATAGAGATTTTACAGTAATTCTAAGTCAGGTTAACAGTTGAAGGGAGACAATACGGCTGTCTATAGTATGGATTGACTATTCCTTGACTTAACAGATTTTTACCCCATGAAAATGAACAAAATATGATACCTAATCAGAAAAAAAGTATCATTGCTTACCAAGCTCATTTATTTTATTTTTCTAATTAATCCTCATTCACTGAAATATGTAAAAAAAATTCTTAGTCTAATTTATAACTGGGAAATGGCCTGTTTTGAAGTTGTCACTTTGAAATATATATATCACTAAGGATATTTTTACAGGCTTTAATAAAATATTTGAAATGGCATTATATGTTAAACAACATGTACCATTACATAGCAGAAATAATCATTATTGATCACATCCATATAACCACATTGTAAACATTGGTTCTATATTGGGGTATAACTCAGTCCCTATTCTGGTCCTGGTGGATATTTTTTGTGCTTATCATATTTAATACTAAGTTTTGTACAGTTAAACATAAAGTTTTAACAGATAAAAATGATACTGGGGCATCATTTATTTTCGTCGATGCTATTTTTCGTGATTTCACAAAATGTTGCCGTTAAAAGGACACTTTTTCCCTTGTTTTGTCATCCCATCCATGCAACTGAAAACTTGTTATTGTTAAGAGTTTAAATTTGTGGTTTGCCTCTACCCATAAAAATTAGAGTGCCCCGGAGTAATAATAAATCCTCAGTATAACTGGAACTGTATTAATTAAGGTGTAAACTTGACAATAACTGGTATTCTTGTATATGTTAGACATATGCACAACAAGTAATATGTGCCATACACCTAATGCTTTGTCACACACACTATTACATGTAGTAGAAATTTTATGTTTTTTAGTTGATAAATCCAATGTAGATACACTGTCTCTTTTTTGTTTGAAAAGTTTGAAAATTTCACCATAAGGATGTTTGCTTTATATTTTTAAACTTTTCATAACTCCTCAGAAGTTTTCCTAGTTAATGCTTAATTAACTTTATTTGTCAATATTTATTAAAATCATACAACTTAAATAATCTTCTATTAAACAAATTATTTCTAATTCTTATTTTTTTTAATTTCAATTTTTAAATAGTTATACATTTATTTCTACCCATATATTTCCAGTTAAATTTTGAGATGTCCATCTCTCCTTAGAAAGTCTAGATTTTAAAGACCTCATTTATGATATGTTGTCATTTCAGTATACAAACATCTTTAAACTGAGATAATTTGAACTTAAATAATGCTGATTAAAAATGTATTTAGTGTTTAAAGATCTTGTTTTTTTTTTAATTCACATGCTTTATTGAAATTTTTTGTTTTGTATTCGTACATTTAAGGACTAAGATCTCATTTGTCATTTTCTCTATTACCATGTGTTCACATTTACAAGGTTTATCAGAAGTATATATATTTTAAATTTGTAGTGTCAGAAGTTAAAATGTGTGTTTGAATAATTAATATTTCCAAACTATTATTTATATAGTTATTCTGTAAAAAATATTAAAAAAATTCTATATTATTCTGCTTATAAAGGTTGAAATTTTAGCGTAAATTTGTTACAGCAACGGCGTTATTGTATGTTTTTAGTTGTTATCTTCTTTTTGGCATATATGACTGTTTAATCTGAATTGATTAATGTTTAACAAATTATGAGATGAAAAACTGTCCTCAATATTCAATAAATACAGTAAATTGAATAAAAGTTTTAAATCTGAAATTTCATAAACCAGTCTACGTTTCATGATTTAAATACTTGCAAAGTTATCAAAAAAGGACTCTTGAGACTAAAAAATAAAATTGTTATATGTTATGCTAAAATTTATAGAACATTTTGGAATTTTGTCTCCAAGAAGCACTTGCAGTTATGGAATAATTTAATAGATACATGTGTAGATATTGTAATACATAAAGGTTATCATGAAACTTCACATAATTTGGACACAAAATATTCTTTATCCCAGAAGTACACAAAGTTACTGTAAACATGGCATATTTCTTTTAACATATGAATTACACATGAATTACATATGTGTATTTTTGATTGTGTGAAAAATGTTACAAAGAACATAATAGTTATTTGTTGCTTACCAGTATAACTTAATTTATTGATTATGATATGCGATAGTGATACACGTGTGCAATAAAATGATACACATTGAAAGCGTTGAATTATTCATTTTTCATGTACAAACTTTGTATATATTTAGTATTAATTTTTTCAAGAACATATGATACCAAATCAGTGCACATTAAATGCAGAGATGCCCAGGTAATACTTCAAAGTGGAAAAAATTGTGAACGAAAACAGTGTTTCTTTGTTAAACATGCTTCATATCATCACAGTTTTACAGAGCACTAACTTGACATAATGTTTTACCAATCCATGTATACTTTCATATTGCTTAATGTTACTATACCAAGTTATGACTAGTTTAAAAAAGGTTAAGGTCCAAGCATCTTTGATACTGTAAATTCAGAAATTATTGAGTGCATTTATTATTGCGAGTTTTGAAGAATGGACAAAAATGTAAGATTCATTATTGCCATTACATGAAAATCTGCATACAGATCAGAATGCGAGTTGTTATTATTGTGATACTCAACCAGTCGCATTATTCACATTAATAAAAACTTTCCAATAATTTCTGAATTTACAGTAGACTGAAATTGGGACTAACATTTTGGTTTAAAGATGAACCATTTGTTCAAACTTACTAAACTAGTCTCTGGAAGAGAGTTGTATAATTGGCAATCATATCACATCTTGTTATTTTTATATTGAAAATCCGTAAGGGGTTCCGCGAAACCCTGTGTCTTGCTTGCGATTACTGCTGTCAGTGTAAAAGTGTAATGTTGACATAAAAAGGGAGTCCATTTATCAGTAAAATACAGAATTAAAAAAAAATATCAAACTTTTTCTTTAGATGCTATTTCTTGGTAATGAAGATTTGCTTCTGTCCAAGTTACATAACAATCCATGAAGGTTTACAAATTATTCTTATCAAAAAAATTTAATCTCAGACTGTCTGTAAATGTTAACTGTAAAAAACTTAAGTCCAAAAAACTGAAAATGAAAAAAAAATATTTTCAAAAGTTTGCTTTAGACATTATCTATTAATCATAAAATTCTACATGTATGAAGGTTTGATAAAGTATAGTTTATAGTGTGTCTTTCTATGTTGTGATGTTACACTATTGTTTCAAGTAGGGTGAAGGTTGGCGCCTATTAAAACCTTTTAACCCGCTGCATTTGTTTGCACCTGTCCTAAGTCAGGAACCTGATGTCCAGTGGTTGTTGTTTGTTGATGTGGTTCATAAGTGTTTCTTGTTTCTCGTTTTTAGTCCCCTACCGACAAAGTTGAAGGGGACTTTAGGTTTTCACTCTGTCCGTCTGTCTGTCCATCTGTCATTCCGGCAAATCAGTTTTCCAGACTTTTTTTCTTCATGCTTGAAGATATTGATTTGATATTTGGTGTATTGTTTAATCATGACAAGTTACAGGTCAAGTTCAATTTTCACGATTTTAGCTTTTCTCCTTGTTCAGTGAAAGCCCTTTCCCTAGAATTAAATTTTTGATGAAATACTTATTATTAATTACTAGATTTCTGTTCAAAGGGAAATAACTCATTTTTTAAAAGTCATTGTATCAATGATTAATTACATTTTGGATTTTTTTTCCTTTTCTTTAGTAAATTGTTTGAAGAATTTAGTGGTAGGTTTGTTTGTTATTTTATGTAGTTTACACCATGACAAGTTATAGATCAAGTTAGAATTTTGTTCCATTACAATGAATTTTTAACCGGTAGGGGACTATGTATTGCCATGCAATACTCACAGAATGCTTGTTTATATAGATTTAAAATTTTGCTCTGGATACTGTATTTTGGTCATAAACAAGCTTCTGTCCAAATTTCTTAAAGTTCCATGAAGGTTTGACAAAGTTATTGATGACTGAAAAACTTTAACCTCAGACTAAATCTGAATGTTTACTGTAAAAAAAACTATGTCCATTTATAAGTAAAATGCGGAAAAATGAAAATAAATATTTTTAAAATTTTCCTCTGGCTACTGTATTTTGGTCATAAAAAAGCTTCTGTCCAAATTTCATAAAATTCCTTGAATGTTTGACAAAGTTATTGATGTCCAAAAAAACTTTAATCACAGACTGAACCTAAATGTTGATGCAGCCAACGACGGAATCTAGGATTGCTGTCTTGCTTTCGCGACAGAAATGTTGCAGGCTCAACAATAATGGTCCTTGGAACTTGGAAAGAACAAAAAAAGTATGTAGGTAAAAGAGCAAAATAATGCATATCTTATATACAGATACAGGCATATGTTCATTGTCCTTGACCTTATTTTCACGATTCAATGATCCCTTAAAACAGTATAAATATTATAAGATTTCTTCAGATATGATGAGCAATAGGTTTATATAGATTCATTGCAAGGTATATATGAATTGATGTCTTGTTAACACGATTTGGACTGTTTACTAATGTGGTTGGAGCATTTTACAACAACTCATGTATTGAAATCCAGTACTCTAGCCAACTCCACCACATAAACCTATAGAAGTCAATTATTTTAATAGAAAAAATTGAGATGTGGTATGATTGCCTATTAGACAAATTAACCATAAACCAAAGGACAAAGATTACACATGACTGGTCATAATATGTCCTTCAACAATATGAAAAAGTTGTACCATATAATAAGCTACAGAAGACTGTGGTGTGTCAAAATATGAAACAATTCAAGAGAAAGCCTACAGCCTTATTTATACTACAACAATGAGCTAAAAGCAAATATGGCAGACAGAAAACCACTGAATTACATGTTCCTGGTTTAGGACAAGCACATAAAGAATGTGGAAGGGTTTAACATGTTTGTTAGAGCTTAACACTACCCCTTACCTTGGACAGTGGTGTGAGAACAAGCTGTAAAAATTAGTTGGAAAGGAAGGTCTTAACTCATCAGATTGGCACAAAAGCAAATAACAAAAAGACAAAAGACTGATTTAAGAGTGCACACATTGTATAACCCTTCTTTTCATTGAAATTAATCTGACATGGTTCAATGTATATACATGAAAGTTGGCTGAATATCATTAAATCATGATGTGTAAATATGAATATGAGTTGAATGGTCTGATTGATTGTGTTTTGTCATAGTTATGCCCCTTTTCACTTAGAAAAGAAATTTAGGCTCTGTTAAAGCATACAAATCATGTCTTCACCACTTCTCTTACATTATTTCATGTATATTGGAAGATTCTATTGGATGATGATTATGGATGGCTGCTTAATTTCCAGCGGTAAATTAATATGGATATTCAGGATGAGAACATGTTAATTTAATATGAATATTTACCCTGCTTTGTACTATAGAATGACACGCTGAGCGGGATTATTCTGACTCTGAGCTGACCAGTCTTTGCTCTTACTCCTTAATGCTGCGTGCTTAGTGGAGAAGCAGGAAATAACAATTTTTAAGTATTTGGTTTTACCCGGCCGGGGTACAAACCCACGACCTCCCTTCACTTGAGGGGAACATGGTTTCTATTGGAAGATACTAACCTACAATCATATAACATTTAAAGGTTAGGTATTGCAGAATACTACAGAAAGTAGGTCACTCTGACCTATACTTCTTAATGACCTTTGGTTGATTTAAAGAAAAGTCTGTTTTATCATATTTTATTCATATAATTATACAAAGCTATATAAACCTGAACTAAAATCGTTTGATGAATATTACAGTGCATATAAAACAGTCCTTAATTATTTTATTCTGTAACCATACAACCATATTTGTTATATTATGACTGAAGTTTGCTTAAATTTAAACAATAAAAGCAAGCCAGTTTCTTTGTATGCTCTTTATTTTCTGTTATATGTATAGGGTACAGTTTTTGATACAGAATATTTGTTCAATGATGTTTATTACCAATATCTATATATATATTTCATTAATTTTATGACTGTCAGTTTTATTGGTGAATGAAACATGAGCATTCGACAATAATATCATGTGTCATTATATCTAAATAGAATATAAAAACTTTATATGAAGCTACCAATTCTTAAGTAATTCATAAAAAATTTCACTTTAAAAGTGCACAAAGTTGAGACTTACAGTCTTATCATCAAGATTTATTTTTGTAATTTCAAATGATTAATCAACCAAGATATCTAAATTATTTAGAAACATTTATTTTCATCCTCAAAGGATCAACCTTTTCGAATATAGAAACTCATGGTAAAACTATTAGATTATTTTATACCAAGTTATTGAGGCTTGTAATGCCATCAGTATTGACCTCTAAGGGACTAAATATGAATATTGACTAGAACTTAATATAAAATATAATATTCTTAACAATTACAAATGTAGATTATTTACATAGTGTGGTAAGACAACTGGTAAAAATAAAGTTGTTGAATAAATTTTCTATTTAGAGTATTGTGGCTATAATAATATATTATTCAGTCTAATCAACAAACAGAGATAAAAAAAATGTACAAGCTTTTCGTTCATGACTGATCGGTTCAAAATCTATCGTCACACACGGAATCTAATACTGTAAATTCAGAAATTATTGCATGCATTTATTATTGCGATTTTTCAAGAATGGACATCAATGCTGTTATCTACTACCTTTTCAACGTGATATTATACCGATACGAAATTATTCGAGATTAATTATTGAGATTTCAAGGAAATCTGCATACATATATACATATAAGATATCAGAATGCGAGTTCTTAATTTTGCGATACCCACCTAGTCGCATTAATAAAAACCTCGCAATAATTTCTGAATTTACAGTATCTGATACATTGAAAAAAAAATAATGTTCTTGCACTTCATAATAAACTTAAACAAAATGTTGAGTTACTAAATCCTAGATTATCCTATATCTTAAAAAAAAAAAAAGGTTTAGGGTGAAAATAATATAAGAGTTTTCAATAGATTTCTATGTTAAATAATTCAATAAAAATGAAACACAAGGACTCTTCTTTGCTTATATATTATATATCACATAAAGCTTAAACGCCATATTTTTAGTATTTCCCTGATATTTAATTGCATATTTATCAGATGTTAAAAGCAAATAAAATATGAACTTAAAAATAGACTGTATTGAAAAATAGATGTGTCAGAACGACATGAATTGCATCGCTCGTAAAAAAAGCGTGAAGCCATTTTTAGGAGTGGCAATTTGTTAATAGAAGGTTGATATCAAAATCCAAAGCCTGTAATTTCTCAAAAATCAGTTGCGGAACCAAACGTAAACTTGATCTGTAACTCATCATAGTAGATTCACATACTAAAAATCAGCTCAATATGTGAATGTATTTAGAAAAAAAGTCACAAAATTTTCAAAGTCCAAAGCCTGTAATTTCATCAAAAAACAACAGAGCGGAACCAAAGGTGAACTGGATCTGTTACTCATCATAGTGCACTCACATACATAAATTCAGTCAATATGTAAAGGTATTTAGAAAAAAAGTCCAGATAATGATTCGTTGCGGAATGATGGAATAACATACAAAAGTAAAACTATATGGCCCCAACCGCTAGGAGATGGGGCCATAATAAGACCATTATAGATTATTGATTGTGATTCTAGATAAGTACTATATGATTTAAAGCTAAATGCAATGCTAGAGTTACAGGAATAACTTAATACTCTAGGACTATGATCATTCTCTACATATACAGTCTACTTCTTGCATCTTCATTAGACTTTATAGGGAAATGGACAGATTTTCACTTCAACTGCAGATAAAATAAAGACTTCGCTTTTTCTATAGATTAAATCAATGTCAAATTATTAAGTTATAGAATGGTTATAGATTATCCGACTATCATGTAGAGTACATTTACTTGTGTTTGTCTCATAACCAATTACCTTTTTATACCAGTAATGAAAATAGTTCTGACCATTTGCCAAAAAATAGTTTGCACTTGAATGGTAAATGTAATATTTGAAAGAAAAATTATTAAAGTAAATATCAGATGGTATAATTGAATTGGTATAGTTTGAAATTACTCATTGGGGAAATTTTATGTTATGAGTGGTCAAGAGCAATCTTAAAATGTCCAGGCGTTGAAATCAAATTGCTCAGAAAAAAACAGAACTTACATAAATCTAAAATAAAGACACCTGAAATAAGCTGTTTCACTAATAAAATAACAAATAACTAGAGGTTTTTCACTTTATACTATACAACTGAAATTACATTTTGATTCCTGTGTTGTTTCTGGGGACCTGCTTTTCAGGGAATTAACAGTACTCAAGATTTATAAAATTGGGAAACAGGCCAGGGGATTCATGTCACCCTGATAGCTCTATATTTATTGTTAACCACGTTTACATTTTCTAGGACTGATTTTATAAACCATGTTAAAGCAAGTTAGTTATTAAAAGTTCAGAAAATCAACAACTTTATCCCATACTATTTTGTAAATTGACATTTTTGGAAGGTAAAAGATGACCATCTAAGGTAAATTACACTCATTCACTATACAATTTTAATTTTACAGCCACATGGATTCAATTCTATAATTTTAAAGCTTATCATTTAAGAATATTTTAGGTAAAATATTTTAAACAGTCATAGGGGTTTCAGTAAATAATTTAAAATAAGTCTGCAGTAATGGGAAATATCTGAACATCAGTTTATATGACCTTGAGGACAAGTGAAGTAGAAAAAAAGTGGAAAAAAATCAGCAAACCCCAAAAAAAATAATTTATAATTTTCTACTTTGATATGACAATATAAGCAGGGTTCTCACTAGGATATTTTTATGGTGAGTCCTGGGATTAATCACTTTTTGAAATGGTGAGTCCCAGCCAATTCTAACGAGTCCATAGTATGTCATGTCTTTTTAATATGGACTGTCTCATTTGGCTTTTTGCACTTGTTATATCATCAGGCACAAAAAATATATCACTTAATATTGTAAAAAAATCTTTCCATGTGGCTAAAATCCTACAGTAAAAGTTTAAATACATTATACTATCTGACACATAATACAACATCTATCCCAAAATACCTGAGTGCATATATCAAATATAGTACATGTATATAACCCTGATTCACATCAAAATATCAAATTGATAAACTATACAATTGTAACATCAAATGTAAATACTAACAATAGTGTTTCAATCAGTACACGCTACTCCACACCCCACATTCAATTATCTATTTAGCTAAAATTAAATGGTGTCAACACCAAAACCAAACAGTGTACACATATAATAAATACCAGTGTTTGTAAGAATCAATCAAATACCAGTGTTTGTAAGAATCAGACAATATAAAAAAAATGAACGCAAATTTTTATAAAACATGTTTTGTCATTGGCTTGTGGCATTTAGGAGTAAGAGCAAAGACTGGTTGTTCTCCGAGTCAGTATATGTGTACAAATTTATAAATTGCATGTAAAAGTAGCTGAAAAATTAACAAGTTTTACTTAAAATCAAGATTTTTCAAAAACCTTTCCTATAAAAATAAGACGATGTGGTATGAGTGCCAATGAGACAACTCTCCACCAGAGACCAAAATGAAGTAGAAGTTAACAACAATAGGTCACCTATGAATATTCTAAAAACTATTTTATTGCTACAGCAATTTCTTTTTTATTGATATGATTTTTTCCCCTATTTTCTGTACAAATCATTCAAGTAAGTGCTACATATGTAACACATTTAAAAAATCAGATTTTGCTTACTTTTACCTTTTTGATATTATCCCACTACTTTGTAAGTAAAAACAATTTATATGAACTTTAAAAAAAAAACAATTTCAGAGACCTATGAATTTCATTTCAATAAAACAGTAATTTCATTGAAAACCAAATTTTTTTTTAAAGAAAGTTCATCATCAGGACAGGATTTTAGAAATGGCATAAAATGAAATTACTGATACATTTATACAATTTGATGGAAATTTAATCCTATCTATAATTTTAGTTATGTCCCCTTATGTGTGTTTCTACGGTGCATTCTATACAATGTACATCTCCAGATACCAACTACATATCTGACTTCACTATTTCTAATTTTTACTGAAAGATTCTTTGGCAGAATGGCATTTATACTATGTAAGGCACCATATGTAGAACACAATTAAGCTAATAGCACCTCTACAAAAATGTGAAGTTATTTTGACATGAATGATGCTTGAAGGTATTCTCTTTTTGATTTATATGATGTTTAGTATAAATGTCATAACACTATTATTTGAATAATCTTTGGCATTTATAGGACACTGTTAATACTTTTAAATCTTTTGGTATAACTACATACAGACCAGTTCTAGTAATTGGTTGAATTAACAGTTTAAATGAATGGTATACATGTGCAAAACTACTAATGCATTTCTGGACTCCATGTTTTTAATTACAGTTTTAATAAATGTGTCATTTGTAAATAAAATTAAAAAAAAAAAAATTTACTACATTAAACTGGAATTCATATTTTGGAATTACTTGTATACAAATTAAACATTGTCATTTTAAATAGCTGCTGCATATTTTTCTGCTAATCTGAATTAGGATTTACTCCAACTCCAACTCCAACTCCAATCTCCGTCTGTTTAGCTTCCTTGGAAAATGATGTAGTTACCATTGGATAATCACTAAATGAAGACATTTCATTTTCAGACTTAGGTTCAACACTATACTTAGTTCTTTCTCTCATTTTCTTTCCATGTTTGACTTTTTTCTTTGATGTGAATAATTTACACAATAATACTATATTGACTATAACACTGACTGCTGCGAATGTGCTGATACAAATCAGACTTATTGTTATTTTCCTGAAAAAGAAAAAAAAGGATAACAGGAATTAATTATATTGAGCACACTAACCATCATCATGATCACATGACTCCTCTGAAAATTTAATAAATTAAAAATTATTCAATTTTTTTTTCTTGATTTTCATTGTTTAAGATAATTTTTCAAGTATATTTTGGATTCAAAAAGTGTGCGCAAACAAGAAATAACTTTATATTTGTGAGATTATTTTAAATCCCTCAAATAAAACCTCTCTAAAAATTATTTTTTGTTTCTTAGCTATGCATGATGTTACAACATTTAATGAAAATAATGGTGGAAAACTTGATAAATACAACATTTTCATGAAAAAGGCTTAAATAATGACATACTATTGACCCTCATAACATAAAAAGTCTTGAGTAGTTCATTTGTAATTCTTTATCTTATGCATTTCCATACATTATGTGCAGATTTGAGATAGATTTCAAAAACTTCATTTTCTTGGGCACAAACAAGCCTTTATGCCCCCACTCCACTAATCTATACATGAAAAGTTGTAATTAAGATCAGAAAACTACTTGCTAAGCTTAAAACCATTCAACTGTGACGAAAAACTAAACATAACTATACCTAAACTCTTCTGATTGGTCAGAAACTAAACATAACTATACCTAAACTCTTCTGATTGGTCAGAAACTAAATGCTGTCTTTGGATCTGTTGTTTTGCATAACATATTCCAGCTGAAAATGTAAAAGTTAACTTGCAGGAAGAACTTGTATTGTAAAACACTTTTGATTTGAAAATGTTCATACACTTTACATTAGAGAGAAATGAACATGCTTCTTAACATTGTTTGTAATATTCCTTGAAAACTATAACCAGAAGTTAGAATTTATAATTCTTTGTTATTTGTGCAGTGTATGTATGATGTAATATGCTTGTCAAATCAGTCTTTGAAATTGTTAAAGTATAGTACATGTCAACGAAATAACCATCATTCACAATTTAAAGCTTTATTTTACTTGAAAATAAGCATTGTAACCTATGTTTTATTTAGTGATGTTTCAAAGTTTAAAAGTCACCTATCATCATTTCCGAAATGTAAAATGGTATAAACTTCCCATAAACAGACCAAAAGAAAGAAATTTGGTACAAACATGAAATATTGCAAAATTGTGCAAAATAACTTCTAAATCTTTCCTTTATGCCTTGTGATACCTTGCATATAATGCTGGTCTAGATCGGTAAAATTACAACTTCCTGTTACTGAGTGACATGGACATCCATCTGAACATAAACATACACTGGAACAGTGGTTACCATAGAAACCTACTGGACATTCTGTAAATACAAACAAACTGCTTGAAATATTGATTAATTGATTGATTGTTGGTGTTTAACACCACTTTCAGTTCTATTGGTTGTCAGATTTTATTGGAGGAAGCTGAAATGCCAGGAGAGAACCACCAAACTTCAGTAGGTCTACTAGGAAAACTGACAATCCTAACCTCAGTTTCGGCAGGCTAGTGCTACAGTAGATGAACTACTTAAGACTACTCAGCCACCAAGGAAAATATACAGGAGTGCACACTCTGAAATGTCTTGCCTGTTTTACTGACCATTGATTTTATGTTGAAAGTCTTAAAGATAAAGGTTTTACTACAAGTATCACATAAACTTAACAATTTTAAAGATTCATCACAATGAGGTCAAGGCCAGATAAACCTGTCAGACAGACATGTACACCTTACAATTATTCCATACACCAAATATAGTTGACCTTTTGCATATGGTAATTGACAAAACAGACCAAAACACAAAAAATAAACATTGACCAATTAACCATGATAATGAGATCAAGGTCATATTTTACCTGTCACGGTCAGATGATACCTACAAGACAGACATGTACACCTAATAATCATTCCATACACAAAATATAGTTGACCTACTGCTTAAAGTATTTGAAAAAATGACAAAAAAATAAAAACTTAACATTGACCAATGAACCATGAAAATAGTATATGAGAAACGGACCTAATCACGTAGCTTTAACCTTGACCACTGATCAATGAGATTATGAGGTCATGGTCAGGTGAACTCTGTCTGACAGACATGTAGACCTTGCAAGGAACCATATACTTAATATAGTTATCCTATTACTCATAATAAGTGAGAAATTCACAAGACAAAAAAAATATAATTTTTTTTTTCAAGCAGTCACTTAACAATGAAAATGAGGTCAAGGACAATGGACATATGACAGACAGAAACTTGTTTACATAAGGTGTATGCATACATGAAGCATCCAGGTTTTCTAGCTTCTGAAATATAAAGCTTTTAACACATAGTTTACGCCACACTCCCGGATAGTAATCCCTATGTCTTGCATACTGCAACTTTCGTTGCAGGCGAGACAAAAACTGACAAAATGTCAAGAATACTGAAAAAATCCATAAAAAGAGCAGAAATTGCAAAAATAATTTTGAAATGACAATTTCAGTGCAGTACTTGCATAATGTATCTGGAAACATTTGTGTGTGTCTAGATTTGGCTATGTTTGCAATAGACATCTTACTGTGAAATGTACTCCACACAAACATTTTTCTGTCCATTCAAAATGCATTGTCTAATGCTGTGAAATGAGAACAATAAATGTGCCCAATTTATGGGGGATTTCCCCAGCAAAAGGTGTTAATAACATGACTATTGAAATCCTTGATTACATATTCATATTAATCATAGATAGGCATTTAAACAAGTGAAATTGAATTTAAGCACTTATAAACTCATTTACAACCTTAGAATGTAAGCCTAAAAAATTATGACATGTGATGCAGAAGGTCCTCTTGTACCTAAAATCCCCATGAAGATTTTGAAAATTTGGCAGTTTAAAAAAATTAAGAGTAAATGTGTAGTATATAGTTTCATCTATACATAAAAGAAGTTAATATGCAGTCAAAATGAGCATTGCATATAGTTGCTGGTGTCTATTTCTTTATTTCAGACCCTTTAAACAATTCACATGAGGTCAACCTATTGATTTAATGTTGATCATTCTGCTCTAATCTTGATCTGCCCAGGTTCAGAATTATGTGTCCATGAAGGGGACATATCTTCAGCAGACTGTTCCTTTGATATTTAGCCTGTTAAAACTAAACTCAGCACATCAGTCTAATTCAGTGGTTGTCGTTTTTTGCTGTGCTTCATATTTTTTTCTGTTTATTGTTTTGTAAGTAAATCAGGCTGTTAGTTTTCTTGTTTGAATTCTTTTACACTTGTCATTTTATGGCCTTTTATAGCTTGCTATGCGGTATGGGTTTTGATCATTGTAGAAGGCCATATAGTTGCTAACCTTCTACATCATTTGGTCTCTATTGGAGAGTTGTCTCATTGGCAATCATAACACATCTTCTTGTTATTATATGTAATATTTTCAGTTTGACAATAATTAAGCACTAATCAATCAAGCAATTATGGAATGACATGTGAATATGTTCTGGCATTATATCAAAAGCACATTGTTTTAGTTCTTACCATTCTCACATAATTGACCAGTGAAACCTGGCTGACAATCACACTTTCCATTAACAGCATCACAGGTACCAGTAGAACCATGTGAACAGGAACACTGCTGAACACAATTCTTCCCATAATACCCTTGTGAACAGGAAATATTGCAGTTATCTCCCATCCATCCAGCCTCACAAGTACACCCATCTATAATATATACTTTAGTTCTAATATATGAAACATAGTCATATAAAACATGTTTCATTCTATGAGGAAAATAAGTCATGGAATGAGCTACACAGGTAAAGTTTTGTTGTAATTAAATAATTACATTAAATGTATGTCATCAAAATCCATATTTTTTTATTAGCTGATAAAAAAAGCATTGATTGTGCGCACATTTTAAGTATAAAGCGCTTCCACACTTCATACAAAATAAGTTTTGGTCAGTATTTTTTAACCTCTATAAAATTACAAAAAGAAGAATTCAATCAAATAAAACAGAAATAAGTACATGTATTTGTATTTTGTAGAGTTATTGCCTAAAGTTGCACTTCATTTGCATACCTGTCAACCTCTGAAAGTGAAGATGCATGTCATGGCTGGTTCTATTGAAAAATATCAGGTCATAATGTGTACAAACTTTTTTCAGATGACTTTAGGTATTCAGAGCACCTTTTTTCAGATGACTTTAGGTATTCAGAGCACCTTTTTTCATTTAAAAACATATATATGTACCAATTTTCACAAAGTCAGTCAACTAAAACAACACACACACTCGATCTGTAAATCTTCATCATTATATTCTAATGTAAAAGAAATTAGCACCAGATCTGCAGGCATTGCAAAAAAGTCTAGACAAGTACAATTTTCATGAATTGAAGTTCAAAGGTTGTTAATAAAGGCAACAGTAGTATACCGCTGTTTCGAAATTCATAAATCGATTGAGAAAAAAACCAATCCGGGTTAGAAACTAAAACTGAGGGAAACACATCAAATATAAGATGAGAACTACGACACAACAGAAACACAACATTAAAATGTAACACACACAGAAACGAACTATAATATAACAATGGCCATTTTCCTGACTTGGTACAGGACATTTTAAGAAAAAAATGGTGGGTTGAACCTGTTTTTGTGGCTAGCCAAACCTCCTGCTTGTATGGCAATGTTAAATATAACATTAAAATGACAACATTACATGACAGGACTACAATACAAATAAATGGGAGAACATATAGGACAGAGAAACATACGAATAATAGCTAACAAAAGGTACCAGGTTTAAAATTTAATACGCAAGACGCGCGTTACGTCCACACAAGACTAACCAGTGACGCTCAGATCAAAAAAGTTTGAAAGCCAAAACAAGTACAAAGTTGAAGAGCATTGAGGACCAAAAGTTCCAAAAAGTTGTGGCTAAGGTTTTCTGTCTGGGATAAGAACATCCTTATTATTTAGAATAATTCATACTTTTGCAAACAGTAAATTTTTAAAAAAGACTATATAATAGATATGTGGTTCATAAGTGTTTCTCGTTTCTCGTTTTTTATATAGATTAGACCGTTGGTTTTCCCGTTTGAATGGTTTTACACTAGTAATTTTGGGGGCCCTTTATAGCTTACTGTTCGGTGTAAGCCAAGGCTCTGTGTTGAAGACCGTACTGTGACCTATAATGGTTTACTTTTATAAATTTTGACTTGGATGGAGAGTTGTCTCATTGGCACTCATACCACATATTCTTATATCTATATACATGATAACACAGAAGTGGTGACTAACTACAGAATAAAAACGGATACATAAAACAACATAAACCAGCACATAAAAATTCACAGCCGAGTTAGCCAAAGAGATCAACGCACAAAGTGACGTCACATTTGAATTTCTAAAAATTTCCCCAAAATAGGATAGAATTAGGATAGAATTCAAGATTAGGTTTGTAATACTCATATAACATTTATTAATAACAATGAAAATTACAATACTAATTAATATAAAATTGTGGTAGTAATTAGATACTTAATTGTATTATCTAGCGATGTCGGTGTTTCTTCTAAATCAAACTGTAAACCAAATATATCGTATAAATTTAGTTGACCCAAACTAAAATCTAATAAATGAACTGGGTGATTAATTCAGGTTAACCAAAAACTAAATTACAATCTCAATCTGTATATCATCATTATTCACTAATCACTGTATGTTTTTATAATGACGAAATAACAGAAGGTCGGATGAAGGCAGGGGTATTACAATGTAAATCTGTATTTACTCCCCTTTAAGAGGTTTAAACGAAGCTGCATGAATGTCTTAAAGGGGCATTAGCTATACTTGTGACAAAGAAATCAAAGAGAGATATATTGTTTCAAACACGAATTAAAGCAGAGAATTGAAATAATACTTTCCTATTAACAGTCAGTTTGGTTCAATTTTTTGTAAAAACAGCTAAACATTCTTGTTATATGGGTTTTGCAAGACATTAATTTGACCTCATTTGGGTTGTATGCAATCTTTAATTTGACCCTCAGTTGGAGATGGGTTGAGCATGTCCATTGATTGAAACTAATGTCATCTGAAAAGGGGAATTAGGGAAGGCAGCAGCAGGAAGACCAATTTGTTGATTGATTCGACATGCAAAAAAAACCCAGTTATATACATTTTGCAGTAAATTATTTACATTTAATTCATAAGTTTTTATCTATGAAATGAGATTAAACAGAACTAAAAAAAATCAACCTTTTACTGTTGCAAGAGCTTATCTGACGTTTGTATTTATGTTTATCTGTATGTTTATATCTATAATTATAATATAGTTACATGCTCATCAACAGTTTTTGTTTTGTATTTGTTTGCATATTTGTATTATGGAGTAACCTCCCTTATAACAATATTTCAAAATGATCCAGTGAAAAAATGCCCCAGTAATCTAAAATTTGACAAAAATGAAATAGACAGAAAAATAACATCTTCTGACATATCAAATGCACAATAAATCTATTGTATCATTCAACACCACCAACAGTCTTGTTGAAATTTTTTAGCAATTTTTCTCTATTTCATTCAGACTTTAGCAGCCTTTCATTCTTTATTCTTTATTTTTTTAGCCCATTCTTGCGCTATTCTAAAATATTGGCCCATTACCCTCTATTCCAAACCCTCAATATTAATAGACATGACTGCTTATAGCCCCATGTAAGAAAAACTTGAGACTTAAGTTGGTGTTTTTATAATATCACAGAAGTTCTCATCTGACTTTGATACAGATTTAACTTTTCAAAATTTCATATAAAAATATGAGCTGATCTTGGTCATTTTTTTTAAAGCTCAGTAGAAGTATAATGCACAATTTAAACCATTAAATTTCTTGATATCAATAATTCTCATTCATACAAAATATGTCACTTATGTCAACAGAAAAGACAGACAAACCAATACACAAATGAGGAAAACAAATAAAATGTTGACAAGTTCGATAATTTAAACATGATCTAATTTTGATAAGTTATATAAATGTGTATTTATCTATGTTTTATCATATAAAACAAACATCTATTATCATATTTATCAAAAATTTTGCAAAGTCACTGTCAGTTATATTCAAATTCAGGTTCACAAAACTATTCAATTGTTTTTCATAAAACATGTGACACAACTCCAACCTTATTTCAAAGAAACCTGTGGCAGATAATGTACCGTAATAAAGATGTTAACATTGTCTTTAGGTCCTAATGCAGACATTTATAGGAAATCATTTACCCATGCATGGCAGAAAACATGTGGCAGATTGGAGAAACATAATGTCTCCATTACCAAAATATTGTTTGGATATATGAAATTCACAAGTTCTCTTTACATAAACTGTTGACACAGTGATATGTCTCGCCTTTTTGTAATTTTGATAGTAGTATTATGCAAATATTGAATCCAAATAGTAATATTTAAACATGTAAACTATGCAAAATATTCAAAGTCAATGAACCATGACTTAAGGTGCAGGACCAAATAACCATAGAAATGAGAAATGTCAATGTTTATTAAACTGCATACCAAATATCATTGACTTATCATAAGTGGTTCACTTTACATTAACCTGAACACAAACGTTAACTTGGAAACAAAGTAAAAGTTTCAGTCAATGATCCATGATGAGGGGGTGGGGCCATATAATCTCCATGGAAAAGAGACTTGCAAATGCTAATACAACTGCATACCAAATATCATTGACTTATCATTAGTGATTCCTTTTGAACTGATCTAATCACAAATTTTAACAGGTAAACTATGATAAAATTTAAATTTGATAGACCATGACTGAGGGAGCGGCTCCAAACAATCTCTATGGAAATGAGACCGTCTGACGTGCCAATGATAATGCATTAACATACCAAATATCATTGACCTACTACTAGTGGTTCCTTTCAAACTGACCTCACAAACTAATACATGTAAAGTAAGCAAAAGTTTCAAAGTTAATAGACCATGACTGAGGGGGCGGGGCCAAATAAAATCCATGAAAATAAGATGTGCCAATCAATGCTAATACAACTGGATACCAGATATCATTGACCTACCACTAGTGGTTCCCTATGAACTGACCTAATCACAAACTAATACATGTGAAGTAAGCAAAAGTTTCAAAGTCAATAGACCATGACTGAGGGGGCGGGTCAAATAATCTCCATGGAAATGAGATATGCAAATGCTAATACAACTGCATACCAAACATCACTGACCTGTCACTAGTGGTTCCCCATAAACTGACCTAATCACAAACTAATACATTGTTGATGCCACTGCCACCAGAAACAGCATACCTAAGTCTTGCTTTTTGACTCTGTCAAGGCAAGACAATAAAAAGATATTAACTCTAAGGGTAAACACAAGTAAAAATATATCTGTCCTGATGTGCTCCTATAATATCACAATTTAAGGTACATCCTTGATTTTAAACCTTCAACAAGTAGATGTAACTACAGTAAAGAAAAGATCCAACAAAGACATTCTAATACTGATTACTGAAAAGGTATTGACATGAAAAATAAGAATACAAATCTATGGTTAATGGGTTGCAATATTCATTGTTTTGAATATATTTAACACTTTATGATATAAGGGAATTGGGTAGACCTCCCCACAAAGATAAAATCTATAGTGAAATTAAAAAGGTCTTTTCATGGCAGACTTTTTTGGTAGTTTAGAAAATAAATGTGTTTCGCGGGGATACCTTAACAGTTTTTGATATATTTAAAAAACAACCAATTAAGAGGGGCGGGGCATGACCTCAATAGAAAATCTATGGTTTACTGAAAGATCTATTCATGACAATTAAGAATATATATGGTATTGGGGGTAAGGATATGTACAGTTCTTTTAGCTATTTAACAATCAATGATATGCAGGGGGTGTGTATGCTCCCGGAGGAAATCCTCCAGTGATCCAAAAACATATAATCAAGGCAATTAAGAATATATATGGTTTTAGGGTGGGCATCTTAACCATTTCTTAGGAATCTAAAAATTCATTATTGGGCAAGGTGAATGCAATATAGCGCCCTCCTTTTAGACTGGTGGGTATAACAATATATATGGTTTTGGGGTGGACATACAAAAATCAATTATTTGATTGATTGATTAATTGATTGATTGATGGCCATTTTAAGCACTCTTGGCTATATTGTGGCGATCAATTACTTGTACACAACACATTATCTTGAGGTGCTGCACTCATGTGCCAAATACCAAAAGCCTTTGTCAAATGATAATGTTCTGTTTCAGACACAAATTTTAAAAAAAAAGGCCAAAGGTCAAGGTCACATAAAGGTGATGATGATATGTGACACACTGTCTTATATAATACACCTTCATGCCAAATATCATAAGTTAGTGTCAAACAAAAAAGTTATGGCCAGGACAAGGTTTGATAGAGAAGAATCAGAAGAAAAACAACATTACTAAATCAAAAAGTCTCCTTTCGTCGAGGGAAGTCACAATTAATAATGATTGATTGAAAAAAGATGATTTTCTATGAAATATGCGACAATTTGACAACCATCTTTATGAATAAAAGATTATGCAGTTTTACTATTGATTATATAAACTGGTTATCCTTAGCCACTCAACTTTTTACTGGAGACCATGGTGCCTTAATAAAATAACTAATACTTTACCGTTTGTACATGTGCCATGATGTGAACAATGGTTTTGACAGCTGAGATGATCACATGCTGATCCTGCCCAGTTGGTATTACACAGACACTTTCCGTCTTTACAGGTTCCATGGCCAGAACAATCTAAGGGAGAGCACTCAACTTCATGAACACACAAAATGGTAGATACCTTTCTTGCACAGTTGAATTTCTCATCATCTGTGCTGAAATGAATATAACTTTTTAACATGTGTAAACAAAACAGAAATAATTTTTTAAGCAAAGCAAAGGATTTCATTTATGTAGAGAATTTGGATTTTATGCTTCTAAGGACAAGACCACCAAAAAAAAATCACTTTGCTGGGTTTTTTTCAGGTAAATTATCCAACCCTGAGAATCGAAATTGTCTTAAACAATTATCAACCTGTTATGGAAAATGAATTATCAGTCTTATTTTCATTGATTGAACTATATCTAGTCGCAAGAAAAATATTGTAAAGGGAACCAATAATAATTATAATATTTCACAAGTATTATTTGACTGTTATTTAAAGAAATGGTATACAATGATAAAGATAAAGCCATTTCATCTGTTGATGATACTAACCATGATATACAATTTACAACCTCCAGAACTAATTTCTCCTTGTCTGTTCTGGTTATAACTGAGCAACATATCAATGATATACTCAAAACATTGAAAATAAATAAAGCTTGTGGTAATGATTTAATTAGCCATCAAATGCTGAAAGGCACAGGGGATTCTGTTTATAAACCTCTACAGATTTCATTCTATAAATCACTTCAAGCACAAAATAGTAGGTGCGCACCAGTTGTGCCCTTTAAATGCACCATTTAAAATTACTTCAAAAAATCCAAATGATTATATATTTACCATTTATCAGTTGGGTAGTTCACTAAAGTACCATTTACAACATAAGTAGCAGAACCACCACCATCCAGATTTATTGCATTAACAAATCCATACTCCAGCAATACATCAGCCATTTCATACAAACTCATCCTGGAAAAATAATATATTTGGTTAATTTTTTGGTTGTTTTCAATGAATACACTTGAGGTAGTATAATGAATACTAACCATTAACCAATAAACTCTAAAATAAATACACGAAGAAGTAAACAAAGTGACCACTGTCACAGTCTTTAAAACATGCTGCTTTAATGAAAAAGAGTTAAAAGGTGGCACAAATGAAAATGTTACTTTGAAGGCATCATCTAAAACTTTTCAATAATTTTTTAGCACTTTTTCTTCAGATACATTCTGCAATTTGAGCTCATATACTTTTTGCTTGCCTGGCCAATGCTTGCTCAGCTTGTGATAAATGTACCGGTAATAGTTCCATATGGCACCCCCACCATACTAAAAGAACACAATAATGTATTACAGTTTATTCCGTAGGGGTGCCATATGGAACTCTTTCACCAAGATATCTTCAAAAGTTACTTGTAAAATACAATTGCTACCTTTTCCTTTATTTTGATGATGGGTTGTAAATTATACACTATAATAATGAATTAAAATTGAAGCAAAATAAAACATGTGAACCAATGCCGGGTTTTTAAGATATTTCAGGTTCCTTTGAGGTGGATAAAAAAGGTGACCCTGGTGTCCTTGTTTAACATAGAAATTAAAGAATATTCATGACACAAACTTCATAGGATTGCAGATATTATTTGTTTCACATATTGAAAGAGAAAACTTATGTTTAAAAAATTTGGCAGAAAGTGTTGAGCTATAAATATTCTTAACCAGACAAAAATTATGAGAACAGATCTATTTGTTTACTTTCTTGTTGTTGGTAAAAAAAAATTCCAGAAAACATGGGACGGATATCAAATTAAACCATCAAAAGGAAGTCATTTACCCATTATGATCTGTTTTACCATCCACCTGCATTATTAATACACGTCCATCTTTATCACTTCCAACAACAGTTCTGGCTGACATAACGCCAGCAAATCTTTCTAGTGTACCTGTAGAGAATCAAAACTATGATCAGAATTATTTATATCATTTGTGGGATATATTTTGTTTTTACCTAGCCATCCATGCAAATAAATATATATATTTTTAAGACCATATGAAAAGCAAACCTCAAGCAAAATAAAAAAAAAAATGCATCTGGTACATATGTTCACTTTTAGTTTTACTGAAATTATGATAAAAACTGATTCTAATCAATCATAGCATATGACACTAATGACTCTGCAGTAGATACCAAAGGGATATTCAAACTCATACATTGAAAGTCGATGACAAACAGAATATTCCAATGGGATATTCAAACTCATACATTGTAAGTGGATGACAAACTGAAGATACTAAAGGGATATTCAAACTCATACATAGTAAGTCAATGACAAACAGAAGATACCAAAGGGATATTCAAACTCATACATTGTAAGTCTACGACAAACAGAAGATACTAAAGGGATATTCAAACTCATACATTGTAAGTCGATGACAAACTAAGTGGATGACAAACAGAAGATACCAAAGGGATATTCAAACTCATACATTGTAAGTCGACGACAAACAGAAGATACCAAAGGGATATTCAAACTCATACATTGTAAGTCGATGACAAACAGAAGATACCAAAGGGATATTCAAACTCATACATTGTAAGTGGATGACAAACAGAAGATACCAAAAGAATATTCAAACTCATACATTGTAAGTCAATGACAAACAGAAGATACCAAAGGGATATTCAAACTCATACATTGTAAGTGGATGACAAACAGAAGATACTAAAGGGATATTCAAACTCATACATTGTAATTCGATGACAAACTAAGTGGATGACAAACAGAAGATACCAAAGGGATATTCAAACTCATACATTGTAAGTCTATGACAAACTGAAGATACCAAAGGGATATTCAAACTCATACATTGTAAGTGGATGACAAACAGAAGATACTAAAGGGATATTCAAACTCATACATTGTAAGTCGATGACAAACTAAGTGGATGACAAACAGAAGATACCAAAGGGATATTCAAACTCATACATTGTAAGTCTATGACAAACTGAAGATACCAAAGGGATATTCAAACTCATACATTGTAAGTGGATGACAAACAGAAGATACTAAAGGGATATTCAAACTCATACATTGTAAGTCGATGACAAACTAAGTGGATGACAAACAGAAGATACCAAAGGGACATTCAAACTCATACATTGTAAGTCTATGACAAACAGAAGATACTAAAGGGATATTCAAACTCATACATTGTAAGTCTATGACAAACAGAATATACCAATGGGATATTCAAAATCATACATTGTAAGTGGATGACAAACAGAAGATACTAAAGGGATATTCAAACTCATACATTGTAAGTCGATGACAAAAAGAAGATACCAAAGGGATATTCAAACTCATACATTGTAAGTGGATGACAAACAGAAGATACCAAAGGGATATTCAAACCCATACATTGTAAGTCGATGACAAACAGAAGATACCAAAGGGATATTCAAACTCATACAGTGTAAGTGGATGACAAACAGAAGATACTAAAGGGATATTCAAACTCATACATTGTAAGTCGATGACAAACTAAGTGGATGACAAACAGAAGATACCAAAGGGATATTCAAACTCATACATTGTAGGTGGATGACAAACAGAAGATACTAAAGGGATATTCAAACTCATACATTGTAAGTCGATGACAAACTAAGTGGATGACAAACAGAAGATACCAAAGGGATATTCAAACTCATACATTGTAAGTCTATGACAAACAGAAGATACTAAAGGGATATTCAAACTCATACATTGTAAGTCTACGACAAACAGAAGATACCAATGGGATATTCAAACTCATACATTGTAAGTGGATGACAAACTGAAGATACTAAAGGGATATTCAAACTCATTCATTGTAAGTGGATGACAAACAGAAGATACTAAAGGGATATTCAAACTCATACATTGTGAGTGGATGACAAACAGAAGATACCAAAGGGATATTCAAACTCATACATTGTAAGTCTACGACAAACAGAAGATACCAATGGGATATTCAAACTCATACATTGTAAGTGGATGACAAACTGAAGATACTAAAGGGATATTCAAACTCATACATTGTAAGTCGATGACAAACTAAGTGGATGACAAACAGAAGATACTAAAGGGATATTCAAACTCATACATTGTAAGTCGATGACAAACAGAAGATACCAAAGGGATATTCAAACTCATACATTGTAAGTGGATGACAAACAGAAGATACTAAAGGGATATTCAAACTCATACATTGTAAGTCGATGACAAACAGAAGATACCAAAGGGATATTCAAACTCATACATTGTAAGTCGATGACAAACAGAAGATACCAAAGGGATATTCAAACTCATACATTGTAAGTGGATGACAAACAGAAGATACCAAAGGGATATTCAAACTCATACATAGTAAGTCAATGACAAACAGAAGATACCAAAGGGATATTCAAACTCATACATTGTAAGTGGATGACAAACAGAAGATACTAAAGGGATATTCAAACTCATACATTGTAAGTCAATGACAAACAGAAGATACCAAAGGGATATTCAAACTCATACATTGTAAGTGGATGACAAACAGAAGATACTAAAGGGATATTCAAACTCATACATTGTAAGTCAATGACAAACACAAGATACCAAAGGGATTTTCAAACTCATACATTGTAAGTGGATGACAAACAGAAGATACCAAAGGGATATTCAAACTCATACATAGTAAGTCAATGACAAACAGAAGATACTAAAGGGATATTCAAACTCATACATTGCAAGTCGATGACAAACTAAGTGGATGAAAAACAGAAGATACCAAAGGGATATTCAAACTCATACATTGTAAGTCGATGACAAACAGAAGATACCAAAGGGATATTCAAACTCATACATTGTAAGTCGATGACAAACAGAAGATACTAAAGGGATATTCAAACTCATACATTGTAAGTGGATGACAAACAGAAGATACTAAAGGGATATTCAAACTCATACATTGTAAGTCGATGACAAACAGAAGATACCAAAGGGATATTCAAACTCATACATTGTAAGTCGATGACAAACAGAAGATACCAAAGGGATATTCAAACTCATACATTGTAAGTCGATGACAAACAGAAGATACTAAAGGGATATTCAAACTCATACATTGTAAGTCGATGACAAACAGAAGATACCAAAGGGATATTCAAACTCCTACATTGTAAGTGGATGACAAACAGAAGATACTAAAGGGATATTCAAACTCATACATTGTAAGTCGATGACAAACTAAGTGGATGACAAACAGAAGATACCAAAGGGATATTCAAACTCATACATTGTAAGTGGATGACAAACAGAAGATACTAAAGGGATATTCAAACTCATACATTGCAAGTCGATGACAAACTAAGTGGATGAAAAACAGAAGATACCAAAGGGATATTCAAACTCATACATTGTAAGTCGATGACAAACAGAAGATACCAAAGGGATATTCAAACTCATACATTGTAAGTCGATGACAAACAGAAGATACCAAAGGGATATTCAAACTCATACATTGTAAGTGGATGACAAACAGAAGATACTAAAGGGATATTCAAACTCATACATTGTAAGTGGATGACAAACAGAAGATACCAAAGGGATATTCAAACTCATACATTGTAAGTCGATGACAAACAGAAGATACCAAAGGGATATTCAAACTCATACATTGTAAGTCGATGACAAACAGAAGATACTAAAGGGATATTCAAACTCATACATTGTAAGTCGATGACAAACAGAAGATACCAAAGGGATATTCAAACTCATACATTGTAAGTGGATGACAAACAGAAGATACTAAAGGGATATTCAAACTCATACATTGTAAGTCGATGACAAACTAAGTCGATGACAAACATAAGATACCAAAGGGATATTCAAACTCATACATTGTAAGTGGATGACAAACAGAAGATACTAAAGGGATATTCAAACTCATACATTGCAAGTCGATGACAAACCAAGTGGATGAAAAACAGAAGATACCAAAGGGATATTCAAACTCATACATTGTAAGTGGATGACAAACAGAAGATACAAAAGGGATATTCAAACTCATACATTGTAAGTCAATGACAAACAGAAGATACCAAAGGGCTATTCAAACTCATACATTGTAAGTCAATGACAAACTGACAATGTCATGGAAAAAAATAACACTAAAGCATTTTGATCATCAAAATCAATCTATCCAAAATGTGACTACATGTATCATATTTCTTATTTCTTATGACAAACAGAAGATACCAATGGGATATTCAAACTCATACATTGTAAGTGGATGACAAACAGAAGATACCAAATGGATATTCAAACTCATACATTGTAAGTCTATGACAAACAGAAGATACCAAAGGGATATTCAAACTCATACATTGTAAGTCGATGACAAACAGAAGATACCAAAGGGATATTCAAACTCATACATTGTAAGTCTACGACAAACAGAAGATACCAATGGGATATTCAAACTCATACATTGTAAGTGGATGACAAACTGAAGATACTAAAGGGATATTCAAACTCATTCATTGTAAGTGGATGACAAACAGAAGATACTAAAGGGATATTCAAACTCATACATTGTGAGTGGATGACAAACAGAAGATACCAAAGGGATATTCAAACTCATACATTGTAAGTCTACGACAAACAGAAGATACCAATGGGATATTCAAACTCATACATTGTAAGTGGATGACAAACTGAAGATACTAAAGGGATATTCAAACTCATACATTGTAAGTCGATGACAAACTAAGTGGATGACAAACAGAAGATACTAAAGGGATATTCAAACTCATACATTGTAAGTCGATGACAAACAGAAGATACCAAAGGGATATTCAAACTCATACATTGTAAGTGGATGACAAACAGAAGATACTAAAGGGATATTCAAACTCATA